ACTCAATCTGTTCAGCCACTGAATCTGCTGTAGATATATAGAGCAGTGGTCCCCGACCTTTTTCAACTCATGGCCCACTTGAAAATCTAAAAAATCTTGGTGGCCCACATCCAACCCCATAACAACATGGAGGCCAAATAACGTACTTTTTATTTTAATAATAACGATTGAACATTCAGGACTGAACTGAGAGCAGAAGAAAGATGCAGGAAACTGTGCTACAAAATATTAGGTTCAGGGTCCCAATACTTTTGTCCATGTCATTTTCATTTGTTATATTTATTACAAATGTTATATCAAAAACTCAAAAGCATCACGTCTGTTCTACTGCGTATGGAACAGAGAATAGTGAATGCCAATTACTTTTGTCAGTTTCAACTTATTTCAGAGAAAATTCTGGTTAACCTTCTACAGTAATTTTGGTTACGTCTCGTCGTAAGACAGAGCGCTGAGATCTGCAGCTGTAGAGACGTGTGTAGAGAGGTAGATTTTCTCTGCTATCCCTTTATTCATAAGCTTACGGGTCCCCCCCACAAACGGCTCCCTCACAAACAAGTGAAGTACTTCTGCCTGAATAAGACGTTACCAAGAAACGCACACATGATACAAATGCATGTTTATTTTTAATTTGTGCGGACGTTAAATTATTCAGTAATTATCAAAGAAAAAAAATTAAAGATTAGAGAAAAGTCTAGAAAAAAAAAGATTGTGATGCAGGATTTTTTTTCCTCCAACCACAGCTTCAAGTCAAAAATACACAAACATGAACATTTGTTTGAAAACCATATTGTTAAGAAACAGCACTCAAAGAATTCATTTCAACGATTTATTATTGTTTCATATTACTGAACCAACAATTAATAGACCTTAAAGTATACCTTTATGTTACAGTACATGCCACTGCTTTTTGCACATATAAAAATAGAAATCATTTGCTTCTAGAAATTGAAATTCAAGACCAAAATTGGAAGTGTCCAGCTGAGTTCAAGAAGATACTAAAAGGTCACTTCATAGCATTATATATATATATATATATATATATATATATAATGTGAGCATTCCACACAGCAGCACTACAGCTGTCAGCACTAGAGTTAATGTTATTCACAATCCATATCAATAGAAAAGCAGTTTATATTTACCAAACTCCAAAACAACACTTCTAACACAAATGCAGTGTCAAAAAAACAAACAAATGCTCGACTTGAATTCATCTTGTAAGTAAAACCCATTGTGCAGTCACCACAGTGAAATATTGACATCTCTCCGTCTCAGTGAAGGGAAAATAAAAACACACTAACCCGCCGATGTTGACTGTGTTACAATGGATTGTGAAATGATTGCAAACTGTGTAATAAAGTGCAGCACATTAAAACATTTGAATGACAAAAAAAAAAAAATATCCCTCTATGACTGTTAAAAAGAAAAAAAAACAAAAGAACATCTAAAATCTCCCCATCACAGAATGTGATTCAGTTTTCACTGGCAGCAAGAAGCAGTTTTAAAGAACAGGACTTGTTTCAGTCATAAATATTCTAACAGCTTCTAGTTTTTTCAGAGGTTCAAACGCCTTTTTTTTACATCTTTAACCGTAGTGGTTTTGTTCTGTAGCGAGTGCAACACCTGGAGGCTTTTTACATCATCACCGCATTTTGGGAAATATGTCCGATATGTACGATCCGCTTTGCCGAGAGTTACATGAGAACACTTTGTCGTCGCTTGAGGTTGCCAGACAAACAGCGGAGAGTCACTGCACCCAGCCAAGAAACAGTTCCAGTATATAACCCGTGTGAAACTACAGACTCATGTTTATACAATTTGTTTTTTTGTACATATAAAACCAGAAAACAACTTTAACCTACAGACAGAGCCAGGGTAGCTGTTTCCCCTGTTCCAGTTTTTATGCTAAGCTAAGCTAACCATCTCCTGGCTCTGGTCTAATATTCATCATACAGATATGACAGTGGTAGCAATGTTCTCACCTAAGCCTCAACAAGCAAATCACAAACATATTCACAAAATGTGTTTGTAACATTTTTTTGCTGTTCTTGTTTATTGTAATCCTGAAAGCTTGTTGATTTGTAAACAACATATTTACTGAATGTTTAAATTACAACTTGTGGATATTTTGTTAATACATGTTTGTGACTTGACGCTGCCACAGAGTCAGTTCAGGTGGCCGTTTACTCTTAGAATATCAGGTCAATCACCAGAGTCAGTACCAAACCTGTAAGTCTGTGGCCAGAAGTGGAAATTACAGGTTAATGGCACATGACATATCCTTCCATTTCCAAAACCTCCCAACAGCTTTAAAGACATGAGTAGACAATCTAACTGAGAAAGAAATGAATGGGACACCAAGTGGATAACAACGAACAAGTCTCCTGTCTTAGTAATAATGTCAGTGACACAACAACATCAAACTGAAGTTTGCTCACATTAGCCTCTTAGCTACTGGTCTTACCAGACCAGATAAAGCTGTAGCTGCAAAACCACAAACATAATTAAACCGAGGAAGAGTTTGTTTTATTGTTCATAAAATCAACCTTTCGTCTGTAAGGGGAAGATTGCGTAATTCCTCCCTTCAACATAACTGCAAGACATTTGAGGCGAACCTGGTCTGAGATGTTTCGAGAGAAGAGAAATAAGAGGACGCGGTCAAGAGCCAACACAAACAAACGATGCGACAATGCATCTCCCATCCCTTCATTACCACAGTGAGCTGAGACAGTAACCCGCACTCATGGCCGATAAGAGCTCCTTGTGCTACCCTGCTACTTCTTATCCTTAGAAAGACCTGAAGATACAAAAGCCAGAACTAGCAAACTCACTGCTTACAAAAAAAAAGTTAAAAAAGAAAGAAGAAAAACAGATGAAAGTGAGTGTCTCAGGGTGCAGCTACCTACTCAGCTCCCACATGGAGCCACACGACAGTCAGTCAGGGATCAAAGAAGGAGAATCCTGTTGGATCCAGAAGCAGAGTCTTGTCAGTGCCAGTATCAGTATCGACATCACAAGAGTGTGTCACCTCTTGATGTCCCCGCGTCTCCACAACTGACCTAACTAAACTCCTGTCCGCCATGTGCAGCATTTACTCTTCATATGTGAAACGTAACCTTTTGAGTGGCGTTGAATTAATTGAAACGTAAAAAGCCTCCTTTAAAGAGCAGAGCAGCAAATTCAATAATATAATCACATCAACGTGCTGATTCACAGGGGGAGAAGAAGAAGAAGAAGAAGAACAGACAGCGGGTCATTGGCTCCTGCGCCTGAACTCACAGACGACAAACAGAGCCAGATCTGACTGAAGACAGAAATGTGAGGAAATGTTTCAGTTCAGTAACAAGAACAGACACAAATTCACACAGGAGTCTGAGTGTGAACGACGTCCACTGGTGTATCCACGCCGGAGAGAAGCTAAACTGCTGTGACCAGCGTGGGGAAAGTTTTCTGACACTAAACTACACATAACCACACGGGGTCGAAGCTGCGCTGGTGTTCAGTCATTTAAATGATGTGAAGAGATTTAAGTATCTAAACTGCAGAGGACGAGTGTTCGTGTCGGGGTACAGATGTTTTCTGTGAACACGTGATTTTACATTTAAAAAACTTCACACATGCAACATGTTGGCACTCATTTTGTTTTCTTTTTTTTGTTATTTCTAAAATAATTTTTCTTTTCTTGCTGCCTGTTTATTGCTTTAAAGGGGCAGAATATATGATGATTACCCTCATGATGTCAGAGTGAGGCTCGAAAATCAGAGTCTGCACTACAAGTTACAAATTATATTCAACAGGCAGGGAGGCTCTAATTAAAAACATTGCATTATGGGAAATGTAGGAACCAGTATTCTGGGTGCTTGACCCACACTAAAAACACTCTTTTTTTAAAACTCACTTTAAATCAGCTTAACAGTAACTTTCAATCAGCTATGTAAGAAGGAAGTCACTGTGGCATAGCTTTAGCATAACTGCTAAAAACAGTTTTGGGGTCAATCTATGTTTAATTTAACTGCAGATGTAGGTCTGACCTTGTTTCATTTAATACTGCACAAAAGGAAAAATATGAGTTTCAGAGTTAGTATTAATTAGCTGTAGCTACGCAACAGTTCACACCTGGCAATTTTTACATAACAATTCACAAGAATTAGTTTGAGTGGTGCAACCCATTCTAATACAGTGATAATTTAGAAGGATAAGTTTGAACTTTCGGAGAGCTGGTGCAACTGCCTCTACACGCACTATATCACACTACGAAGGCCATGTATTTAGGTAGGCAACTGTTACACTGTCATCACGACCTGACTGGTTGAGCTTTGCAGGCGACAGCAAAAAAACAAACAAAAAATAACTTTTTAGAAAGTGACAAACACAAAAACGTAAACAGCAGCCACATCCACTTCCTGGAGGAAACCCTGCATTTCAGTCAGATGAGACACTTTGTTCAAATGATTCAATTCAGTGTTTTGTCATTTAGAGTTGGTAAGAGGCAGGTAAGAGTCTGAACAGCTGATTAGCAGCACTACAAGCCACTGACGACCAGTTCGGCTCAAAATATTTTGTTTTTAAATTCTTCGAGAATAAATATTTCTATAAAATATTCAGGGTTTTACACAAGCACATTCTGAATTTCTGAATCGCCGCTTTTCCAGTTTTTTTTTATGGGCTGTTTTCAGGTGAATAAACTCCCCTCCTGAAGATGGATTTTAGTGTTTTAAAGTGTCCGTAACCAACGGAAAGCTCAGGAGGGAAGTACTCCGCCACGACTGTTTGGCAATTCACAGGAAAACATCTTAAGCAGAAGCCTGTCTAAAATGTCACTTTCTTCTTCTTTTTCTAAAATGTTAAGTTCAGAGAAATCCTCAAAGGATTATCTAACAGCTCACTCCAGAAATGTAAAAAAAAGAAGAAAAAAAAAAGAAAAAAGAAAGACTCAATGAAAACACATCTAATAAAAACATCTAAAAAAAAAAAGAAAAATATACAATCACATTGCTACATCATGTATGTCCCTCCTCGTCACTGACGACCTCAATCTGATGACGGGTGCCTTTAGAGACAAATCTACCGTTGGAACAGAACCACTAAAGGCGTCCCCATTATAGTTCAAATATCTCCCCTGCAGTTCAGAAAATGTCCCGTAAGAGACGCTCAGTGTGACCAAAACAATATTCAATTCAACACAAGCACAATCTGAGGTAAAAGCTATGCTCAACCGACCCGACTTCATCTCAAACCTTTACAATTTAAATGTCAGCTGCGGTGAAGACAAAAACACATTAGACAGGATGACCAGCCAGAAGAGTTGTTGTTCTGTCACACTGGCAGGTTTTTACAGGTTGGATAACAACCTGGTTCAGAAATTGAGTCGAGACTCTTTTGTTTTCACTCCTCGAGGCCCTCGTCTCCGACCCTGTGATTGCAGTAGATGTCGGTGAATAAGAATAACCAGCGTGCAGTCAAATGTTTATAGATTGTGTGTGAAGTTGACAGCCGAGCAGAGAGGAAACAAAAAGGTTTCACCACAGGAGCCGGTGTTAGCTCCCCAGTGCTGCGCAGAGTGAGTCAGCTCCACCGATCCCACATCAAGGGTCAGGTCTACGAGGAGGTGCTGTAGGAGGAGGTGGACATGCTCCTGCCCGTCTTGCGTTCGTAATTCACAAGTCTCTGTCCAACTAAGTATCTGGGAAGAGAATCAGGAAAAAACTGTTTCAGCAATTCGGTAGTTTGTAGTACTCCATGTTCATGTGTCATTCTTTTTGTATTGTGCCGGTTAAAGGTAAATTATGTGCATCATGGTCAACCCTCAGACGTTTCGCTATATTATTATCATCAAAATAGCTATTCCTTTAATATCTCAGGATGGACGACAGAGAAAACTCAGATTGGATTTATGAAGCTCAGTGTGACAAATGTTTTTGCTGATAGATGGAAACATGTTAACGCCAATAAACAGGCCTATTCAGGAACAAATATCATGATTTTTTTTTTTGGCGCCATATTGGCAAACTGGCATCATTAAAAATATGCTGGATTAGCTATTAGCAGTTACTATCTGCACTATAGCCATGGGTGTACAGACAACTATCACCGGATCACTTGTACACTGAAGGAAATGATTCTCAGGCAACTTCTGGAGCGTCTCTTTCCTAAATGGATTTATGGATATTTACTCATGATGGACATCAGAGTTAACGATATCCTCTGGAAGTGCAAGTCACACTCAGTGATACCAACAGGCGTTTTAATGTCCGTGTTAAGACTTGACTCGAGCCGTGACTCAGAGAAGGAGCACGACTTTGGCTCAAATTCAGGTCACGCAGTGTCTTTGCCTCCCCTTCAACTGTCCCATGCACCACTGGAGACTCTCTTTTGGCTTCGTCCTGCTTGATATCCCGGTTCATCACAGAACATATCCTGCACTTTCCCGGTGGTTAAAATGCCAAAAAATGGAGCTGGAACTAGGACTGCTCCATGTTAGACTTATTTGTATATAGTTTCTGCGTCAGTGTGATGAATCACTGCATCTTGATTTGTCAACATTAGCAAAGATTTTTCTGCAATTCCTAAGAAAGTGATTTTCCTCAAAATTCACTATATGACAATATATGTTGCAAGATAAACTCAAGACTCAACCCCTGCAGGGGATTTCATCTATGTATATTACTACTAGCTTTTTCTGTTTAGTACGTCAGTAGCATCCCCCCCCAACTACAGTTAAAGCTGACTCTCAATAGATCAACTGTTTAGGCTACAGGTCGTAACATTATAGAAGTTTTTGTTTAGAAATGAAATAACACAAAATTTCACAACAGTATTTTGAGAATATTTGGCATCTTTTAAAAAAGTAGAATAAAAACAAACTTGCTTGCTTGTGTTAGTTAGAAGGAGTTTAGTGACGCACTGACTTGTCATTTTTGATGTGTTCGTATAAGCGCTTGAACTGTCGTATCTGGAAGGACAGAATGGCCAACAGTATGACCACCATCAGCAGGAACGGATAGATCCTCCTCTCCACCAGCGTCTGCATCTCTGGCTGCACACCTGCGGAGGGAGGGAGGGAGGGATGGAGGGAGGGAGGGGAGGAGGAGGTGAAGGGAGGAAAGAGAAAACGGAATAAACACTGGAACAATAACTCCTCTTACTGAGTGCGTGACTGTGATGTCCCGTCTCTAGGAACTGACAGACAACGAGTGGACGGGGAGGCAGCAAGAGGACGACAGAAAGCTAATAACTTTAATTTAACGGGACAGTAGAGAGAGCAGAGTTGAGGGAGCAGAGCGAATCAAAGACAAAAACAATCAGTTGCACGTTGACTTGCACAATGACTGAAATCCTCGTTTCCACAGGGGGCTGGCAAATCTTAATTGACTAGTTGTTTAAATGCAAGTGTTGCTCGAGTCAGCATCAAAAACAAAGTAAAATTGGTGCCTTGGGTAGGCTTTGCATAAAAAGCACTCCTCAGATGAGCCCTGTATCCAAATTAGTATGCTGTGCTGTGGCCTGATGATATCTGAGTGTCTGTTACCTCTGTCTGAGTCTCATCTGCTACAGTCTCTAATTTAGTCTGTTTGCAAAACAACATAACGGCGGCGGCTACGTAGCAATAGCAAAACTTGCAAATAGCTCCTTTAAATCATTGCTTGTTGCAACTCGAAAACAACCAGTTCACAAAGTATAAAGAACTCATAATGGATTTTGTAGATAATAGAAGAGATATTGCATTTTGGAAAGGAAGCTGTTGTCGGGGGTAAAAACCTGCAGCTAAAATAGAACAAATGGAGATAAGTATTATTTGCAAAGTCAAACAAATGCTGTTTTTTTCTGGTGTGTCAGCATCACTCTAATGAATATTAAAATCCTTGAGTCGGGAGAATAAAAACCGAGAGGTATTATTCTTCATTAGGCTTTTCCTTGACCCTCCTCACAGAGAGAAGCTGATGGATGAGAAAACTGGAGAAGTGAAAGGGGACAAGAGGGAAAAAGGAGGAGAGGTGAATCCGTCCTCTTTTCCTCTGCTACATTGAAAACCGATGCTTGTTAAGGCGTGTTAAGGTACCAGAAAAATCCTCGCTCACCCCAGACACATAACCATGCATGAAGACTTACCAAGCAGAGGTGTAATTCCTTTAGAGATGGTGTAGGGCACACAGAGAGACAGCAGCAGGACGCAGATGACTGGAGCAGCCAGCCTTCGCAAGATGAAATAGAGGTCGATGTTTCGGATTCCGTTGGCATACACCTACAGCAGCGAGAGGGAAGACACCGACTGCTTTATTTTACTTCATTATTTTACATTCCAGTAGCAGCTTTCTGTCCTTTGTAACAAACCCCCCCCCCCCCCAAGAAAATGTGGATTAGTTATCTGAATATGCTCCTATGTGACAAACATGTTTCACTGTACTTGGATCATAAACATATATACTTCCTTACTTCCACAATGTATTTAATGACAGCGATCCTATGAGGTCGAGAGATGTGTCACTGACCTGCTCGATGACGGTTTTGAGCCACCACTGAGGCCCCATCAGCGTGATGGCGGCGATGATTTTAGCATGGAGCACGCCGAGCGCCCAGTCCTGCCACACAGACGTCAGCCAATTAACAACCGAGACACAACGACGGGCGTGTCTCAAAACATCAGCAACCCTTTAGTATCAGCATCAGGTTTCTGCAAAACCTATTTTTCATGTCCTTGAGACATTAGTGTCATTAGACATGAGTTTTGTGATAAAGCAAAGCAGTTGTTTTTCCTCACATAACTTTCTGTTAATGATCCGTTAATGATGTTGTGTTTCTCTACTCAACAGTTTTTTTCATTTAAAGAAACAAGCCAAAGGTCTCAGATGTTAAATATCTTCTAACCACAAACAGCATTAACAAGAAAAATAAAACATTCTAAAACTCACTGACTTGACATCGGACGTTTGGGTTTTCACTAATTAGTCGGTACCAAAACAGTATCAAGGTTTGATACCCAGTCCTACTGACAACACATGCAGCAAAATACTCCGATTTATGATTACACAGACACACACACACACACACACACAGACACACACACACACGCACACACTCCATGGTCCTACCTGCCAGGGATAGAAGAGTGGTGTCTGGTCCAGTGGGACTCTGAGAGGAGCGACGATGATCAGCTCAAACAGCAGACCCAACAGCAGAGGTATCACCCCGGCTAACAGGACGGCCACCACGATGGTCTTCAGGATCTGTTTTCAACAGGACAGCCAATCAAAATACAGCAGTTTATCACACATCACAGTACGAGCTTCATTTTTGGCATTGGCCAGAAGACTACAGGGACACCCGTGTTACCATGAGCGTCCACTCGTGGACTTTGAGCAGGATGACAGTCCGGCCCTGTGGCATCCAGGACAGCAGCACGGTGGCGGCTCGGATGGACAGCCAGCAGACGTATAGGCCGCTGGCCGCTGTGTACAGCTCGTGAACCATGGCGCTGCCCATCCAGAAAGACATGAGCCAGCGACCCACGCACACTGGGAGAGGAGGAAGAGGAGGACGGGTAAGAGCGGAGGTTGGGAGGAACGAGCGAGAGCAGAGCAGCACCTGCTTGCAGCCACAACTTACCCGGCAGCGTGAGGCAGATCAGACTGGCCAGCAGCAGCGTCACACACATGAAGACAACCAACAGAACGATCTGAACAAGCAAACACAGACAAGAGATTTAGAAGAATCAGATATATGAACAGCAGCACAGTGACAATATGATACGAAGGACCAGAACGCCGTCGGTCACCTTGAGGGGAAAGTTGACAGGCCGGTGGTACGGCTGGAAACCCACTGGACCGCCCTGCTGCAGGATAGCCTGATGGGCGGCGTGAAGCCCCTCCCCCAGCCCGGGGATCCGGTTGTTGTTATGGCGACCGGGAGGATTGTTGTTTGGTTGGTTGTCATCGTCTTCGTGGTCCCCGAGCAGGTAAGAGTGAAGGTCACTGTGGGGCGATTACTTTTTTACTTTATCATTATGTCACTTCACATTCATTGTAATAAGACACAGAGAGACAATTATGATTTCAGGTTCTTCTCGCCACGTCATATGAACACTGCGCTAATTTTACAAAGATAACGCTGTTCCTTTTACAAATAAAATTGCAGACTGTGTGTGTGTGTGTGTGTGAAGCTCACAGCATGTATCCCGCTGTGAATGTCCAGGCGTGGACGAGCCGTTTGAGCCACTGCCGAGTGTGACCCTGCTCCAACAACGCCGGCAGCACGACTTGAAGCAACAGCAGCTCCAACGACAGCTCGCTAACTGGGGCATCGCTGCAGTGACAGCAAGTAAACCACAGCTTGACACAATTCACACAATTCAGTTTATAACGAACCATCCGAGGCATTAGAAATGGCAGCTCTGGTTCTCTGGCGGCATCTTATGTTGGTGTATGTTTGAACAGACTATATCACCTCTAACTTCCACACACACAGACAGAATTAAACGTCAATTTGATGTGCTGTCATGTACCTGTAGAGCATGACGTTGTAGGGAAGGAAGGTTGGGAAGAGCAGTTTAATGATTCTAATAGGAAGCCAAAGCATCAGCAAAACGATGGAACCAAACACCACCTGGAAATACACACAAACACACACACACACACACACACACACACACACACACACACACATAAAATTTTACAGTGCAATATACAAAGTTACAGTATACATTTCAGTGCTGAAAACAATATGCAGTAGATTCAACTTCGGTAATAATCATCAATAATCAAGATCAATATTCCCCATGTTTTATTGTAAGAGACACTCATTTGGTCAAAGGGTCAGTTCACTCATATTATATATAACGTCTTTACAGAAGTACTTCATTACGCTGCGTAAGCCACAAACAAACCGTCAAATATATTTACAGACTACTCCTCGAATGGAAAGTCGTTCCAAAGAAATCAGTTCATGTGGATATCCAGAGTTTGAAATGGGATACAGTTTCTCTCACTTTTATTGCCAATTTAATTTTTTAAAAGATCATTTTTCAAAGCTTTGAGCAGCACAAATTAAATTTCATCACCTCCATTGTGCTGGGATGGAGACAGAAATCTCAAAGATGGATATTTCTAAAACCTGCGCACATGAAAACAGAACAATCTGCAGGGCTGGGTATCATCACAAGTAAACCAGACTTTTAGTAAATTTAGGTGAGCTGACCATTTATAGCCCCAAAATATGCTTCTGCAGTTTATATGCACTTGTATCCATTTAGACTGTTTTCATGATTCTTGATATTTTTCTCTCTCTCTCCACCTGACTATTCTTTATCTCAACAAAATCTGTGTTACTTAAGATGACAATGGTGAATCTGAAGATTAGGCTCGATGGAAAGCAGAAGAGGAGGAAGCTTGACTGACCACAGAGAGAATAAACCTCCGCAGGTGTCTGTAGATGGGCAGGTGGATCATCTCTTGGACTGGGTTGAAGTCTGGATCGTTCAGGTTCCTCAGGAACCAGAGCACACCTGGCCGGAGCACCTGTGCACGAACACACATCCACAGGTTAGACATTTGAGAGTATTATGAGTGGTTTGTGAGATCACAGTATGTGATTGTGACTGGCTGGAGTCCTCCACGTTACCTCTCTGAGCAGAAGGATGAAAGAGGCAAAGTAGAAGACGTAGACCATGCCGACCAGCCAGTGGAGGAACATGGTGGTACCAGGGGCGGAGTCAAAGCTCTGCTCCCTGTCCTTCAGGGTGGCATCAAACATCTCCTGCGATGAACAAAGGGACAGGCTTTTTGTTTGTGTTTTAACACTAATGACAAAAACCTCCTTAAAAATCTCATTTTTAGGATTTGGTTCGATGAATGTAGATACTGAGATTTTTGTTTTTCTTCTCCGAACTGAATGTTCATCAAATCTGTGTGCAGTGCATTTAATCTGTTTGGTTAGACTGTATCAACAGGATCAGTTGAGTATACTCTGCATAATAGTCTTACCAGCGAGCAAATGTCGAGCCACCAACCACAAATCAGTGGAAACAAGCCTATCTCCATGACGACCAGCAGGGACACCTGTGACAAAAATACAAATCCCATTTAGTTTCCATTTTCAAAATTTTCTTCTGTAACCATAATTTTTTGCTAATTACAGTTTCAGCAGAGAGTCGACAGTCTGATAAAAACAAACACGAGATAGATTTTGGGAAACACTCCAGTCGTGTGTCTCTAATTTACCTTGACAACGATGTAGCAGACGCCCAGGAGGCGTCTGGACCGCTGGAACTTCACTAGTGAAGCCAGCGCCTAAAGGAGGCACAGTTAAGGACCGACACAAACTGTGAGATCAATAATACCCAGTCGGTGTTTTAACTTATCAATTTAGCATTTCTAACATATAAACAACTTACATTTTCATTAAGAACAAAGTGGTGGCCTTGATTTGGGAAATATATTTGTGCACGAAACAAACCAAAAACAAACCACAAATTACCCTGGAACAGCTGAAACACAACCACAGTAAACCACTACGTATCAAGACATATTGTGGGTAATTTCATACATGTGAGGTAACTTGATCAATGCAGAGGATACGTGGCAGACCATGAGCGCTCCGGCCAGGAGGATGTAGCCCAGGATGGTGGTGATGAGGCCGTCAAAGTGTGAAGCTTTGACCTGCAAACAAAATATAATATCAAATAAATTCAATCACTGTATGGAAAATACAAATACAAAGTGTTTCCTCATGCATCGCTGTGCACTTACATGGTCTTCAAAGCCCAGGCCAACCACTGAGAAATGGCCGATGTGATACGGACAGAAAGCTGAAGGGAAATACAGGGAGGTCAGGGTGGAACTGACAGTGTGGTGGAGCGTTATTACACCGACTGTCTTTCCATCACTGAACTACAGTGAAAATAAACTTCTTAAATAAGGGTAAACCCCTGGAATCATAATATACAGAAAGCTTGATCATCTCTCAAAGATAATGACTGTGTGTACGTCATCACTACGTCACAGGTTTAACTTACCAAAGACGAGGATGAAGAGTGTGTTGAGAGACACCACCCAGAAGACATGTTCCTACAGAAGACACACACACACATATTACACAACGTCTAGCTGCAGTTGCAGTGAAGATTATGGATTTATTACATCATCGCATAATAATTCCATCCAGCCTGGCGTGTTTCTTATAATTTTATGCATTGAGCTGCTGCCACATGATCAGCTGATTGGATAAGTGCACAAGTAAGCAGGTGTGCAGGTGTTCCCACGTTCACTTGGAAAGCTGCAAGAGGCTTGTGCAACTTGAGCCAATGAATAATGTTTTGCACAAGTCCTCGTTTCCGTGACTCTCTACGCTGGAGGTGATGAGTTCAAAGTCAGGTCACATTAATGGGAAATACACCAGGTTGAAATATAGCAGAACAGCCTTTAATGCAGACTCCAGGAGAAAGAGCGCGCACTTACCAAGAAAACTAGAGAGCCATCCAGCCCCAGCATCTGAGACATAAAGAGGACAGTGTCAATCATCCCTTATGATACATCTAACTGAACATGTACGACCTTTTTTACGATAGACGCTGCTGCTGTTAATACATTTAAAACTTCCTAGCAACACGAAGAAGAAGGTCACTCACAAACAACAAGAACTCAGAGAGATATTTCTGCCAACTACCTGCCCCCCTCCTCACACTTTGCTTTTTTAGTTTCATGTCCCGGCTACATCACAGCCCTTAATGGGGCAGGAAACATACAGAAAAAGATTCCCACCCTTTCCCAGGTCAGTTCCTCTGCTGCACGGTCCCACTCCAGAGCGTTCCAGTTCAAATCTTCTGCAAAAAGGAGAATCGACAAACAGTAAGAACACCTACAACATTCCTCTGTAGCTCCGTCACCACGTAGGGTTGCTGCTCCTTGCTAAGGTTAAAGTTCATGCATCCCATTATAGAAGAATGAAAACACCAGTTCATAAAAAAACCTTTGCAAAGTACTCAATCTTTAAAGTGGCAATTTTGAAGATTTTCATTTCAATAAGTGTCTCACACACGTCAATAACTTTGTGTTAGTCACTCTTGTCCCTTGTGATTTTGCGAGTGAGTCACTCCAGACACTCAGTTCATAAAAACGACAAAATGCGAGGACGTCTATATAATGCTGCCTCATTTGGCAATAGAGAGTCATTTAAAAGACACTTATCTAAATGAAATTGAAAACCACTATCTTAAAAGTTGTGTGTTCTTATGCTCACACTAACCTTGTCCTCCATTATTGGCATCAGCAGCATCCTCTTCCCTGCCTTCCTCGTCCTCCTCCTCCTCCTCGTCTTCCTCCCCGTCGTCATCTTCTTCATCATCAAGTTCCGCCTCGTCTCCCTGGTCGCCAGCTTCATGTGGGTGGGCAGGAGCCAGGCCGTCTGCCGCGGGGTCTGCAGGCTGCTGGGCTGCAGCGGCGTCTGCAGCCGCCTGGCCGTTGGCTGCGGCGTTACCACCTGGAACCTGCAGAATCATAATGAGCAACTAGTTAGTTACATGAGTTAATATTTGAGCTCTTATTTGCTCATTAACCGTACTCAGTTTTGGATTTGGCAGTTATCAAGGACAGCTTGACGGTTACAACATGGGAAATAAAAAACCCATCAGCGACAGCCAGTCACTTCTTCCTACAGCGTATTGCTTCTTACCAATAACAGCAGAAGAGTGACATTATCTGGCGAGCACTGCTTTACTAATTTGGTGAAAACACAGACAAATGTGATTGCTAGCTTGGCGAGCACATTCTCCATCAGAAAACTTAACAGGCCAGAGCACGCAGGCAAAAAAAACAAAAGTGACCTCGCACAGAAAACTGGCAAAGTGCAGGAGACAGTTAAACTTGCTTTAATTATTTTTCAACTAAATCAAAAAAGTGGCTTTTAATCAAACTTTGTGTGATAATAAAATAGTCTCATTTTAAATAAGCCTGAAGAGTCATTAATCAAACTAAAATTGAATGCCTTAAGTAAATTCTGTAGTAAAATTATAGACTCAATTAGCTTATCTTTTACAGATATGAACCTGTCAATGTGCCAACTGTGCCAGAGTGCACCGGTGGTCCAATACGCTACCTGTGCTGCTCTATGTGCAGCTAGAAAAAGGAACATAGTATGTGTTTAAAGCATAAAGCATAGAGTGAGCTCACGTCATTAGCTGGTGCAGGGCCGTTGGGCTGGTTGGGAACCAAAGGGGGTTGATTCTGCTCTAACCACTGAGGGGCGCCACCGTGGACAATCTGCTCTCTGAGCCACACCAGGCTGATGAAGGCGCACAGCGTGCAAGTGACCACAAAACAACCCTGGAGACAGTCTGCAAGCAGGTTTTGTCTGTGAGAACAGAGGACACAACATAGATTTACTATATTTTTACAATAATTTCAAACATAACTTTGATACACAGCTGAATAAAGGGAAAGAAAAAGGTGAAAGATGGTCGGTAGGAGCTAATGTGAATAACCAGCCTGTAATCATCAATCAGACATTAACTATATTTGTGGATTTATTTAGACAACTCCAGTGAATAAGATACAGAGAACACAAAGACCTGCAATATATAGGAACAGTGAGAGAGAAGAAAACCCAAAAACAAACTTACGTTGAAAGCATATCTAATGGCAGGGTAAGGAGAGAGCTCACAGAGCCGGTAAATAAACACTTGTAGATACGACCTGTCAGGAAAGCAACACAGGAAACGGTTACATCAACAACAACATTGTGAGAACGTATTCTTCAACCGACAACAAGTGTGAAACTAAAGCTGAACTAAAAACTACGCTTCAAATCTGTAACTTTCATGGGAATATTACTAGACGTCAAGCTGAATTAAAGCATTTATTTACAGCACAAGTGAATCATAGTGCCTGAGATACAAGAGCCTTCCACCAAAAACAGATTGAGTTGTTATACTTTATTTAAAAGTGAATTTATTTTTACTGGAAGACATTTTTGAGGCAAGTCCAAGTTTTTGGTTTTTTTTTTAGCAGGTGAGCTCAAAAGTTTAGACTCAGACTAGAGTTTAGTTTCAGACTATGTTGAACTACTGAATGTTGAAACACTGCATCCCTTAACAACTGAAAAGGTTGGCGAGCAATATTCTTGGCCAGTAAGCACAATGAAAGCTTAGTTCCACTTGAGTAATAGCAGTCATTTGTAGCTTAAAACATGTGAGTTAATTTGTTGTTGCGCGCTAGGATGAATGACCTTATTTATTTGTTATATTGAGCTCAAGTTCTTTTAAACATGTAAAATACCGCTGAACATTCGTTTTCTCTTTCGTTTTTGCCTAAACTCTGTTGGACGTTGGGGAATGAATACAATATGTGGTGACAATAGGAAAACTGCTGATTAAATCTCCTTTTGTTTGGTTATTACAATGGAATGATGGGACTTACATGCTGTGAGAGGCACCACGCCTAGCCAGGCAAAGGCCACCAGTGTGTAGTGGAACCAGTATCTAATGGCTGTTCCAATACTGGTGACCAGCCCCGCAAAGATATCCTGGACAGGCAAGCGAGATGGCATGTCTGGAGAGTAGACTGACAAAAAGACAGGAAGTGAGATACTGATAATTAGTTACTTAGAGGAGCTCGTAACAATTTCACACATGCTTAATATGAAGAAAAAAACAACTTACTTGGTGTAAATGCAAATCTATGTTTGCATAATTCACAGTATTCTTTTCTGCTGTGTTTCAACCACTGCAGTAGGCTGCGGAAACAAACACACAACGTGTGAGTTTCCCCCTTTTTTATCCTATAGAAACTTTACATCACTTGCACTTTGGCCCTGCAGTAAAATCACACAACTTTTCCATGATCACAACTGAAAAGTGAATGTTTCCTTTCTCAAAAATATTTCCCCTTTCAGTTTGTGTCTAACTGTTGATATTGTTTGTCAGGTGTGTAATTACTTAAACTATATTCAGTGACATTGATGTAAAGGAATCTCTTCTTTACAATCCCTGTTCATTTCTAACATCCCCTGACAACTCTTCCCAAACACATTTCAACATCTGTGAAAGCAAATACACTGAAGAGATAGACAGGTGCCATCCTAACTTTAACCATAAAGCTAGAATTCTAAAGGGGAAGGCCGGAGAAAATAATGGAAACATACATATTTTACATCATAACAACTTGGCCATTGAACATACCATTCCTGATGGATGAACTTGATGCTGCCTGTGCAGACACAGGGGTGGTAGAGCGGCTTGTCCTGGGTCCCCTCCGACCGACAGACCCTGCAGATGTCCGCTGCACAGTGGGCACACAATAACATAATTTAGCAAAATATATTTTCAGGATATACCGTGGCTTCAGAAAGTATTCAGACCTTTTCTCTTTTTACACATTTTATTGTGTTTTAGATTTAATTTTAAATTAACATTTTTGCCCATCGGTCTGCACTCAATAACTCAAAATGACAAAGCGGAAACATGTTTATAGAATTTCGCAAATGTATTAAAAATTAAAAACTGAAATATCTGTTAGTATTCAGACCCTCAATTCAATATTTTGTAGAAGCCTCTTAGGCAGCAGCTACAGCTTTGAGTCTTCTTGGGAAAGTCTCTACAAGCTTTGCAGATCTGGATTTGAGCAGTTTATCCCATTCTTCCTGGCAGATCCTCTCAGGCTCTGTCAGACTGTATGTGAAGCGTCTGTAAACTGCCATCTTCAGGCCTCTGCACAGATGTTCTGTGGAGTTTAAGTCTGGGCTTCAGCTGGCCACTCACGGGCCAAGTCAGAGGCTTGTCCTGAAGCCACACTACTGTTGTCTTAGCTGAGTGCTTTTGGGCCATTGTCATGGCAAAAGGTGAACCATCGCCCCACTTTTTGGGTCACATGCACTCTGGATCAAGTTTACCTCAAGGACCTTTCTGTATTTGGCTGCATTCATCCTTCCCTCAATACTGACCCATCTCCCTGTCCCTGCCACTCAGAAGAACCCACATAGCATGATGCAGAGATGGTCATCCTTCTGGCAGGTTCTCCCATCTCGACAAAAGACTTCTGAAGCTCTGTTAAAATAACTGTTGGGTTCTTGGTCATCTTCCTCCTTAAAAATGTGCAAAGTCTTCTAAAAACATGTTTTCACTTTGTCATTATGGATTATTGAGTGAAGATGTGCAAAAAAATGCAAGTTTATTCATTTAAAATTCAATTTACAAGTATGCAAAAAGTGAGAGGGTTGGAATACTTTCTGAAGCCATGGTATTTCTTTTAACTTGGCACTTTGCTTTTCTAAACATTTCATCAACAGGTCAGGTTGATCCACACTCCTGACACACCTTAAATATAATGCTGAATGTTGAAAAATGAAAACAACATGCAGGCTTCCAGCAAAAACATTAACACTGAGATTTTTCCAAATTTCAAATTGTGGCACATTTGATTTAGCAGGAGTATGTGTCTCCTGTGTGCAGAAAAGCGCAGGTCATATTCTGCCTGTATGACAAACTGTAATCTTTGGATTACCTGTCACTGGATGACCAAAATAACTATAATTAGCCCAGGATACAATAGAATAACAGTTAGGAAACCCAGAGTACTTATTGGTGACTGACTTCATATATAAACTTTCTGCTACATTCAAAATATTAACAAGAATATCACAATTTGAGACACCTGAACACTAAGCTAAAGGCCAGTTTCTTTCCCGCAGCATAAACAGCGCTCAGAGAAACATGTGTTGGGGCAGTCGTCTAACGTTACATTAACGCTAGTACGAGTAATAATGTCAATAACAAGAGTAGAGAGTATGTTAAAGATGCTAGTCTCATTAAGGATATTTTGTCTTTGTTATAACTCGCTGTAACGCAGTAAACAAGCCTTGTCAACTGGCAGCACTGACCGGTCAACGTAACATTAGCTAGTTATTTATACTCAACGTAATGTTATGAAAACGATTGCATTAAACTTATTCAACACTAGCTTGTAACTAGATAATTAGCTTGGTTACGTATGCTTCTAATGTGACATGTCCGTCTTTGGAATTTACACAGCTCACTTAAGGTAGACGTAATAGTGTTTATGAAAGCAAGACAACAGAAACCTCGCGTTGCTTTTTTTTATTTACAACGGCTGATAGCTAAAGGACGTGAGCTAATGCTAGTTAGCAAGCCAGCTAATTGGCTAACGGTTTCTTTAATTCTGGTGAACCTTGGTCAGAGTCCAAGAAAATGTAAAAGCGGACGCTGTCAGCGAGAGAAGTTAAGAACATGATCAGATCTGATACAGACATTGTTAGTATAAGCGGTTTTACTAGTTAACGCTAACAATTAGGGCAATAAGGTTTTAATATTAGCTACCTTCCTCAGCGGTGTCCATCTTGACTGGCTGCTAAAGCAGCCCTGCTCCACAGTAGTCAGGATAGTCAGTCAGTATCAAGGCAGAACCGCTAACTCTCTACTTGTGAACATTTGAAGTTAGTGTTTAGTTCAAGCTCCGATTATCTTTGACGTGACCGTTAGATCTGAAATTTTAAACAAAAGCATTTTCAATTCATACTACATCAGCGGGCGGTCAGGACATTCTCAATGCAACATGTGATTGTGCGGTGTTTTCACCACTAGATGGCACCAAAGAGAAACCAGTCAGCTTGAGGAGTTCCATGTTGTATTTATTAATAAATACACAAACCTAAAAACAGGACACGGAACAGTGGTTTCCTGTTCAAAATATTGTGGTGAACAATCTCCTATTAGACAAGCCTGTTACATTTACCAGCCTCTTGGCAAAAAACCTTTGTCTGTCAAGAAATGATAAAGTGATTTCATACATAGTATAAACAGCAAAATGCACTGCAACTTCCTTGACACAATCAAGTGATGCAATGCAATCATTCATGACCAGTACCACTTTTCCCGGGAAGGACTTTTCTCAAGCCATCACCATTTGCAATCTCTTTGACCCCATGTCTGGTGTTGAGCATCACGAGTGTCAAATACAGACTGATTGATCAGCCCACTTTCAGCATGAGTTTGCAAGTTTCCAACTTTTTTCGGTTAAATCTTATCTACCTTAGACACTGATGAAAAGAGGATTTTAAAGAAGAGTTTCAGTCTTTTATCAGTCTATCCTGGAGTAGAAATTGCATGGATTAAAAAAAACAAAACAAAACAGAAAAAACAGTTAATCAAAGGATTACAAAGCCTGATGACAACTTAATAAAATCTGAGTTTCTGCACTTATGTGTGTGTATCTGGCGTGTCCTCTTGTTCTGGCATTGTCTTTCTTGTCATTCCTTGTTGCAGCTGTGATTTAAACGTCTCAGCATCGTACACCCATACAGTGTCTATGCCCTCCCCAGCTGTCTCCTCAGGGACCCAGGTAGGGAAGGGGAAGCGGCAGGCCACCACCTTGGCTGTTCTTGGCAACTCCCTCGCCAGCTTCAGCTCCAGCTGGTCCATCTGCAGATACAGATGGAAACAATTAGGATATCATGTTGGTAATATTTTGGAATTCTGAATGGTACTATTTCTCACCAAGAATGGATAATTAATTAACTATTAAAATACAATGATTAAAATTAAACTGCTGTAGGACAAACATAAAAAACTCACCATTTGAGGGACTCCAAAAATGACAACATTGGAGTACTGACCAAAACTGACCTGGCAAAAGAATCAGAAATAATGGGCATGACACAGTGAAAAGACACTCGTTTCATTTTCTTACACTGAGTAATACCTGATGTCTGTAACAAGAAAAAGACAAGTTCCCAAAGACTGAGTCACAGGTGATTTCCAGAATACTATCCTCCACACTTTATTATAGTAATCAAGTATAACTGACCTTCCACAAGTCAGAGATGTGGAAGGAGGTGGAGCAATGGACTCCCTCTCTCCAGGCCTTGTAGCGAGAATACCACACCAGCCAGGGGTTCAGCTCAAAGCCCGACGCCTTGAACCCATGCTTGGCTGCTGCAATCACCTTCAAGAGGAAGGAAGACAAAGGGAAATGCAATTTATCAGCAGCTATGTATCTATAGCAACTGTAGCAGCGGTTGGATGTTTCCCCCCACTTAGGTTTTCTGTTCCTTAAGTTTGAATTTGTGTTAAGTGATGCTTTTTTTTTTTTTTTAAATGCATGAATATGATATGGCTTGTTATGTTGTTGTTAATAACATAAGACGAGAAAATGCCTTTTCAACAAGAGGTGAGATGAATAAGATGTATAGAAATTATAGAAATAGAAAAGAGGTTCAATTAATGTGACAAAGAGCAACAGGATCCCTAATGCTTCTGCAATATCATTAATTCTAGCACAACAGAGACGCTGACTTTTTAATAGCAGTTCAGTATCAGTGAAACAGTGCAACTTTATTGTTCCTTGAGGAGGTCAGAGGTCAGAGCAGCAACACTGGACCTGAATGGGACTCAGTCTTTCGCAGACTTTTGTTTGCATGGCAGGTTTGAACCAAGACCTTACACTTATCTATTCCAAAATGTGCAACTGAAATTACTATATTTGACATTTATACTGTGTTGGGGCACAAACATTTTTAAGCCTCTCGACACACTTACTATCCTCCCATCTCCACTCCCAATGTCCACCAGGCTCCCTGATCTGGCCCGCAGCACGTTGAGGACATTCTCCACCTGAGCTGTGGTCGCTGGGACAAACGGGAGGCAGATTTTTCTCAGGGCAGGGGCAACAAAAGGGGCGGCCACCGCGTACAGGGCGACCAGCGACCCTCCCATCACCCCGGTGACGATGAGACCGAGTCGGCTTCTGCCCCTGCTCTCCTTCGCGCCGCTCGGCGCCGAGTCCAGGAGAAGCTCCTGTTGTGACATGACGCTTTGTTTTCTTTATTCAAACTATTCAAACAAGCTCATTACGCTCCGTCAAAAGCGCTAAACAAATGATAAACAAACCACATAGAAAAAGCCCCGTTGATCTAGCACCCCTGCGTTCTGACAGATGACCTGTGCAACGCTGAAACAAGCCCGACTGGATGACATGAAAGATTAGCTAACGACGGTTCCGCTCTTCCTTCTTTCCCTCGTCGGTGACTAAATAAACTAAATAAACTAAAACTAAAACTACACTAAAACTAAAATAAAACAATGTAAAACGTAAATAAAATAAATGCACACACTCAGGCATTAAATGGCATGCAAGGTAATGGATAAAGGAAAATATTTAATGAAATAAATAAATAGACACAACAGAAAGAAATCAGCCAAAAAAAAACGAATAAATAAAAAATTGATACACATAAATAAACATAAGTAAATACTCCCGAACAAGAAACAACAAATAATTAAATAATGCAACTATTTGCATGGCAACAGAAAATATAAGTTTCAATTATTTCATTATTTCATTATCTGCTGTCCTTAATCTCGTTCAGTGTTTTCCTATTTGATTCTAGACCAGTGCTCAACACAAAGACTTATTTAAATGAAATAACATCCAAACATACAGGAAACAATGCAAACGCATCATTCATTTACAAAATAATTGTAAATATGATGCAGTCGTACATCGTCGTATTCTACCGTTAAAACTTCAAGATACACAAGGAACAGAAAAGGAAAAAATAACTGATGTATGAGAAAGGGCGGGAAATATCTCAGTGTGTGTGTGTGTGTGTGTGTGTGTGTGTGTGTGTGTGTGTGTGTGTGTGTGTGTGTGTGTGTGTGTGTGCGTGTGTGTGTGTGTGTTTGTGTGTGCATATAAATCCTTCTTTGATCCATTCCTGTTAAATATGAGAGTACTCCAGTGCTAGTCACGTTACCATAGCAATGCTCCTAAATTCTTTGGCTGAGGGATATTTTCCATTATAAGTTTCTATAGCTCCAGCCACTCTATTCCTGGTTCATACAATGTAATAATTTGTTTTAACATGAAATATATGAGGCCAAGAAACACAAACAAAAGATCAACATAATTTCATTTGAATAAATAAAATCTAATTTTAAAAAGGCATTTAAAAGTCGGGGGGTTTTAACCTGTACACATAAAGAATTAAGGTGATTATCTCTGCTGCTGTTTCAATCAATTCACCATGATCCCTCCTATTTATCCCCTTCATCAATGCAGTCCTTGATTATTTTACCATTTCCTCTATTTCCATGTTGCCTTACGTTAGAAGTCATTAGACAGTGTACGGTGGACAGTGTGATCCAGCCCTGACATGCCATGGTGGATCTGATGGTGGTGCATGTGGCGCTGGCTGGTGGTGGGACCATCATCCATCATCAAATCATCCTCCTCCTCCGGCCTGTACCTCTCTGCTCCGTCCTGAGAGTAGCTGTGCTTCATCACCAGGATGCTCCGTCGACCCGCCGGGGTGGTGTGGTAGGAGAGGTGCGGCGACTGTTGCCCCACCATCGCTGGCGGCAATGGAGGCACAAGAGCCCCCCCGTCACCGACAGTGTTGGTTTCCCTCGTGCTTAGGTTGCTGCGGCTGCCATGGACACTGCCGTGCACGCTCCCCTGCTGAGAGCCACAGTGGTGGTCGCGAATACATTTGCTCGAGGAGCGGCGGAGCTTGTGGAACTTCTCGAAGTCCTCGGCCATGGCGGCGTCAGTCAGGTCACCAGATGGGGTGCGGCGCAGAGTGCAGAGCTCGTAATGAGGAGGCTCGAAACCAGGGTGGAGGAGCGCAGGGTCAAAGTCGTCTCTGAGGACACGTAGAGGAAAAGAGGATGTTCAGGAAAGTTGTATTTCTGCTTTTAAACCCCAAATGAATCATGGATGTATGTAACTGTGACACATATGTACAGTACATATCCTCATCTATGACTGCAAGTTACAACAACAACAACAAAATATTCCCATAAAGTATTTCTTGTGTGTTGTTATTAACGTGCAGTTTGAGCCTGCAGGCCTGCGATTCGTGCAGATTTGACTTTCCTTACTGCACAATTATAATCTGACAAACCGACATTTAGTTACAGATATCATGATTAAGGTTGGAGTTGCGTTTACCCAAAGAAATTAGTTACACTGGCAACAGAAGATTTTAGCAGTTAAATATATATGAAGCTGCTTTAATGGTTTCCTGCCACTCGGGGGCAGTAGAACAAGTTAAAAACAAATAACACTCATATACCATATGAAGTTTTTACAGTGAACTTAGTGATAGTTGCTTATTTACACATCCAGCAGACATGAATGTAAGTCCAATACTGACTCTCCCTCTAGCTCCGTGTGGATCTCCACTCACTAACTGTGCTGGGCTGATGGTGTTCAGTGGGTTTATCACAGTGTTTTGTTGTTTGTTTTTTTTTACCTGAAAACAACTGTCTGATGCTGCTGGAAACCAGGATGATGAGAGGGAAGTTTGCAGGTTGAAAAACTAGAACAATGATCTGAAAGTTGGTCATAATTCTCTGTGGGTTCGTCAGTGATTGCGACGCCTTTCACATTACACTGAGTTATTTGATCCATTGTCTCAATACAAATATTGGTTAGTGCAGCTTTAAGCAAGAGGCAGTGTTTGTAATAAAATATTGACCTTTGCTTTGCTCTGTTGACTCCTGGAGACATTTTTCCCCGCACTTGGAACTTATTAAATCCCAACGCAAATTCTGGTGGATATAGTGTTATGGCACACACCATATATTGATGATACTGCTAATAATTAATTCATAATAAACTCCTAAGAGCTGCTGTACGTTTTCCGCCCACATATGCCACCTTGCTGTCAAAATGTGCCGTTTACCTGCCTCTTGACTGTGTTTAATGTTAAAGATCTCACCTACGGATGATGTATTTCTTGCGAGGCTGTTTGATCTGGATGATGACAGAGATGACGAGCAAGATGACAACCAGGCCACAGGTTACTCCGATGATGGTGAGGTTGGTGTGATCCAGCGTGTCCAGGATGCTGGCTTTCCTCTTCTCTAGTCAGAGAGATAAAAATGACTTATGGTTCAACTACAGCTACTGTATGTGTTTCGAACACATCATGTAGCTGCAGGTGAGTGTTTCTCAGCCTGTGTGTGAGGCTACCTTTGCAGTGATTCTCATCCCAGGGGTAAACACAGTTCTGGATGCCGTTGCAGACCAGCGTCTGGTTGATGCACATGTTGCTGTGGCAAAAGAAAGTGTCATCTTCACATGGAGCTGAAAAACAAAAGGAGAGAGTCTTTTAAATGTTTTAAGGATATACTGAAAATAAATCCAAACAAACTCTGTCGCTCCTCATTCAATCCTGTAATATTTTATCCTTGTTCACTGATGTTCATTCTTCATGTAAACACCACATGGCCCCAACCTGAGGACTTCTTGAATCATGGTGAAAGGGACAACACTGGAAGGGATTCGCTCACGTTCGTGGAAGGTTGTGAAGAGGATCTTGAATCTGCTCTTCCTGCTGCCCTCGTCCGCCCACAGCCTGACCACGCCCACAGAGGACACCAGCATGACGTCGTTGGCCACCGTGGAGCAGAACTTATTCTTCAGGTGCTCGACTGAACTGCTGCCGTCGTAGATGGCGACAAAGTTACGCTTGCACTCATTCGAGTTGTGCATCTCGTACTCCATAAAACGCATGTAGATCTGTGGGGGGGGGGGGGTTGAATCAAGATAAGCTTCTAGTCACATTTTTGTGTCCACAGCTAACTGACCAACTGTGTGCTCCTTCAGTGGTGTTAACACAGACAGCACAATTATCCAGATTAAAAATTAGCCTAATGGCTCGTGCTAACACATTAGCATTGCCTGTTTGTAGGCTACAAAGCTTAAAATGTCTTAAATGTTCTGACACTCGCCCATTTTTGAGTAGAAAGTTGTAAAAATGTAGGTAAGCGATACATAACACACATATAGCATTAGCCTACTGTTCTCAAGAGGCAGAGAAACCCCTTGAGTTTTTACTGTGTTTAAACTGATTGTAAAAGTGAGACTTTTCCATAAAAAAAGTAAATGTGAAAAGTACTGTATAGATGACTGTATGTTTTTACACTTTCATGGGCTCGATATGAGCGCTTTAGCTAAGTGTTAGCTAAGGTTCTGTGAGGCCAACCAGAACTGACGAGCAAATACAAGTAAGACCACAACCACGCAACAATACCAAAAACTGTTTGACATCTCCAGACCTTCGCTCTTAGTGGAGCCCTGATGTACCACCTGCAGTCCACAGCTTCAGTCTGCAGCGCCTGCCCCTCCCTGGCGATCTGCGCCGATTCTACGAAGCCCTCCGGACCGCTCAGCTCAAACTCACAATCTGTGGAGAAGATTTTTTGTGTTAAAGTTATACTCGTTTTTAAGACCATGAAATTCCACCAGCTGTGAAACTGTGGAAAGAGTTTGGGCGATATTAAAATGAGGACGCAAAGACACAAGTTGAATACTCACATGGCAGAGCTGGCAGCGCTCCAAGCTCTTGGAACTCGGGATCTAAAAGCAGAACATAATGAATTATCTAAGTAACATTTACTCCAAGTCTTTCCACAATTAGGGCCCAGAATTTAAAATAAAACATTTTCAAATTTATTCTCTACATACACTGTATGAAAAAACAAGTCAAACTGTTGAAAGAGATATTTTTTAAAATGCGTAAAAATTGGTGAGAAAATGTATTTGCACAGATAAATTTTTCTCTGGTTGCACAGTAAATGGAAGTACATTCATTTTGTTGAGGAAAGGGGTCGAGATAAATACAAAATCTCTGACCATAGATTTCTGGGTTAAGTACAAGAAAAATAAATAAATAAATACCACACAATGAAAATAACAATATTTAAAGACATATTGCAAAATTAAAAAAAACAAACAAAAAAAAAAACAAAACAGCTGGCCTAGCCTTACATAATCTACGTAGCAGCACATTTCATCTGCCCTCATTCAAACTCCTGACACCCTGATGCCCTTCATCAAAAAAAGAACACACACACACACACACACACACACACACACACACGCACACACACACACACACACACACTTGCCCTCAGAAAGGAAAGAGATATTGTGTTCTAAACCTTTGTGCTGATGAATCTACTTGCTAGGTGGATTATAAATCCCGATATACCGGCTTAGTTCGGAGACAGATTAGGCTCCGACAGCAACGACAACCTAGTGATAAAAATGTCATATCTTTTTGTTTTTCTAAATTCTCTTGAAAGGTGTTTTTTTTATTTTTATATATATAAATATAAAGGAAAAATCCACACGTCAGTGAAAATCAATGGAATACCAAATAGGGTTGTATAGCACATAAACAATATATTTCTAACTGCTGATGCGGCACATTGGTGAGCAGGTGTGATGTAAGAGGAACAGGTGATGGACTCAACTGAGGCTCAAATCAAATCAACAAGGACTCTTATTAATCCTCTCATGTTCCTCCTTACCCGTTTCTGCTTCAGGCTCGGAACAGATTATTCACATTCATACTGTGTGTGTGTGTGTGTGTGTGTTGCAACAATGCATTCCCAGAGACAAATATAAATGCTTAAGTATGCTTAGCAGGTTGTTAACACTGTAAGTGACTGAACTGTAAAACTGTATGAAATAATTCAAAAGTTCTGTGTGTAAAAAAACAACAAAACAAACAGTCCTGACAAGCTCGGACAAACAACTTCCGCCCTCCAGCAACTTAAAAACGAGTGTGTGTGGGACGGACTCACAGTCACAGTGTAGTCTGAAACTGGAACAATCCCTTGAGGAATAAAAAATACACAGAATAAAAACATAACGTACAGAGGCTAAATCGTGTTAAGAAGAAGGAGAAGAAGAAGAAAGAAAGACAGAAAGAAGATGGCAGGATGGGTGGGTGGATGGATGGATGGACGGACAGGGGGATGCAGATTAATCTTTGGCCCTCGTCAGTGTAGGTGGCTTATAAAATCTGCTGTTAATAAAGCCTCTGCCTCGGACTCCCTTAAGCTGCTACTGCGGCTCAGTGATGACAAGCTGAATTCCCCTGAAGACAAGCTTTCATTAACTCTTGTGTGTGAGAGGAAACAAGTGCTCATGTGTGTGTGTTTGTGTGTGTGTGTGTGTGTGTGTGTGTGTTGGAAGAAATGCTCTCCTTCCTCTTCCCTTGTCGGCTGCAGCTGGTGTGCCTGCACTACAAATGGAAATGAGAGAAACATTCCCAGCAGCATGCAACTACACCGCTTTTAAAGATGCAATATGCGACTGCTTGGCGTCGCAGCGTATTGTGCAATGTCCCACGTCCTTAATGCAAACGACGGATTACAGGGTTCTCCCGCGGTATCGATCTCATCCAAGTGTGTATTACGTCGTGGCACCGGAAAACACAAGCGTCCGCCGTGGGTGCGAAGGTGTGTTAATGTGCGTTTGTTTGTAACACCAGCCATGACAACGTGTGTGTGTAAGTGAGCAGATAAATGAGCCAGAGAAAGGGAGCGAGTGTGTAAGAGACGTGCAGCAGCCAACAATGTCAAACTCACAACAGGGTAGTGGATTAGGAGAGAGAGCGCCAAGGAAAGGAGTTGAAGGCTTAGAGATGTAGTAATACCCTAAACACACACCCCACCACCCCCGCCTCCACCTCCTCCCCTCAGCCAGACAGAGCAGCAGCTGCTATAAGAATCACAACCTATAGCTGAAATGCAAAATTTTACTTCCTTTTAATTAAGTGTCCCACATTATTTTATCCATTAGTACACGACAAACACATCGTGTAAGATGTCATATGTTGTAGACGCAGCCCAAATATAGACGTACAGACCAAATCACAAGCCATGAACACGACCACTGAGAATGGATTTCACTTATTATTTTAACATTATTTTAACATTTGAAAGCATTTTAACACTGAAAAGCTCTATAAAGTGTTTATATTTAAACAAATTTAACTACAACTGTTAATTATTGTTGCAAACAGTTTATTTTCCCTAAACTATTAGGGGCTTTTCCGTCAGCCAGGGTTGGACTACTTAAGCTGACATGTGTTTGCAGCGTCACAGGAGGGGATCACCATGTGTGCTGCTGTGGTGCTACTAGGTCGCAGGGCCGAGCTTGATTATTTTATTTCTTTTTTTGTGACATCTGCTCCCCTCTGCTGCGTCCTCGCTGCTAATCTGTGCTGGAGACTGGAGGGAAAGCTCTGCGTGTTCAGCTCGCTGTAGTTTCGTAGCTTCTACCAGAACTCCTGTGGTCTGGTGTTAAACCCCCCCCCCACTGGGCTAAGCAGCAGGAAGCTTTTATTGTGAAGAAGTTGACGAAATGTGTTTATCACAGAGTTCAGAGCTTCATTAAAGGTGATATTCTTAAATAAAAACAGGTGTAATTAACCGGACATATGCTGGTATTTAGTCAGTGGATCTGTTTGAAACACTGCAGGAAGGAAGCAGTACAGACGCTGAGATGAAGAAGTCCAACATTCATCTCTCTCTGTCTGTATTTCCATTTTTCTCTACAACCGCTCATCCATTGGACTTCAAACTTGGAGAGTCGGGTGGTTTGTCACATTATTCACAGACATCTGATTCATTTTTGAACAGATAAATATTGATTAGTGCAGCATTAACGCCAACTGGACACGTCCAACACTGAGACAGAACTTAATTCACTAAGTTTAAGAAGTTCAGAATGGACGGTTTGGTCTCACCTTGTGTGAAGTTGTACCGGGCAGAGAAACCGATGGCCTCCAGCTCACCGTCAGCCACGAACTTGATGTACAGGTACCTCCCACTGGAGCGGACATACGCAGGGCTTTCCTGCCCACAGTAGCGGCCGATGATGGGGGAGAAACCAAAGGGCCCGTCGCGGACCTCGATGTGGTCAAACTTACACTCCCAGGACGGCTCGATGGAGTACTTGTCATCGAAGAACAAGTCGATGCACTGTCGAGGAGAGGCTGCCAGGAGGAAGAGAGGTCGCAAACAGGTGAGATTAAAAGAATTTAAAAGAATGAAATGAGATGAGAAAAAGATGAAAGTCTCACCTTCTATGATGTAGACACATTCCCTCTCAGGAGGGTATTTCTCAGGGTAGTTGGGCGAGGTGAAATACCCTCCTTGGGGCTCCTTCACCCAGGCCCCACACTTCCCAGCTGGGGTCACACCTGAGTTGTTCTTGACTGGAAACAGGTAGGAAAGTGACGGGACAGATGTTCAGGCGGACGGAAGTGTTGAAGAGGAAGGATCGGCTGTAATTCTCCAGTGAGTGAGACATTACAGGGCTGTCAACACCCGATCTCATTTTCTGGATTTGTGAGATTTGGCTGAGGTGAGAGGACGATGTCCGGAGGCTTTGATGTGATTTAATACGTCACTGAACAATAGTACTTTGGATTAGACATGCCCTTACTGCAATTTTGATAATATTTAAATGAATCGTTCAGCCCTAAATCAGACTGTCAAATTAGAGGTATGAGTCTGAACTAACTGTAACACAAAAAATACCTCAAGCCAAAACCAACAGTGAGGAATGAACAGTAACTCCAGACGTCCCATTCGCAAATGTAATATATGTACATATGTTGAATTTCCAGACATGAAATATATTCTACATATAAAATGTAAAACTTATGTAAAACTTATTAGAAATGGGAACAATTTCAAACATTGGTACGTTCAGCCCATAAAAATATGTATGTTTATGTATGTATGCCTATATTGTAAACATGTTACATAAATATATATCCACCCCAAAGCCTTTCAATATATAGTAATATTATATATGTAAATGTAAAAGATGTATGTTTAAAATTAATAAGAAAAACAGTATTTTCATAAATATGTTGTTTTAATAAACTTGCTTATATAAAATCAACATATCACAACATGTTATACCATATATAGAAATTCATTATGTAGATATTTTTTAATATATGTACATTTACTGTGGATAGTTCATATGTTATATCTTACACATTATAGGTGACATGTAGGGCAACATCACTGTTGATACAGGGACATACATGTATATGTCATATGTAAAATGGGGCGGAGGGCGGCAGGGTGCATACCTTGAGCTTTTTTTTTGGTTGTTGTGGCACCAGACAGCTGAGGTGAGATGAGGCTTGCTGCTAAAGCTGAGAGAAGAAGAGAAGAGAAGAAGAGAAGAGAAGAAGAGAAGAGAAGAGAAGAAGAGAAGAGAAAGATCATGTTAAAAACAAAAACAGTGAGAAGAGAAGCATCTTTAAAACACTGAGCTGTGGTTCAACTCCTCCTCCTCCTCCTCCTCACAGCTGGTTATGAAACATGATTACAGTTGTAAACTTACCGATGGGCAGCAGAAGTTTGTGCACCATGTCTGTTTCCTGAGGGTGAGCGGCTCTGTCTCCATCAAACTGTCTTGTCCGTCAGTTCCCGCGTCCCATTGTGAGAGGAGAGAGTTTTTTTGTTCAGCTCCTCACAACAACAACAACAAAAAAAATCCTGAGAGCAAAGAGTTGGACATTTCCATCCCTCATCCCTCCCTCTCTCTCTCTCTCTCTCCCTCCCTCTCCCTCCCTCTCTCTCTCTGTCTCCCCGACAGCTCGGAGGATTACTACACTCCCGTCCGCCACCAACCTTCACAGTTTGTCGCTCCACCTTTAGGCTGCGGCCGTTAATCCTCTCACAAGATATACGGTCATTGACGGAGCTGCGCCCGCTGCGAAAGTGGGCCGAGGCAAGTGCGCGTACGCGCGCGCGCGCGTGTGTGTGTTTAGGTGCCTAAAACACTCAGCAGCAGCATCACAGCTGCAGTTAAATTACATCAATACATTTTCGAGACTGATATTAATTTATTCACCTGATATTCTCTGTGAAATATAAATAAAGAACACAGTGAGTCTCATCCACCTGTGATTATTTACTTTCTTTTTTACAGGTAAAATACCTGCATTCAAAATGTCACTTACAACAACACAAATGTATCAGAAAAATATACTTTAAAGTTAAAATGTGTGACTTTTCCCACATTAAAATGCCTAAAAATGTCTTGAAGCAGGTGTGGAGCCTACAGACTAACATACATGACACAGTCACGGTCTCACCTTCTGGAGACAGGGTTCAGGGTGAATGTGATTGACACATCAGTCATTTTCCAAACTTAAAAACCACTGAAATTCAAAATTACACCCAGATAGATGCAGCAGAGTTATGGCAGTGTTTCTCACAAAAGGACAGAGAGTAACTGAAAATAAAACAAATCAGAAAAACAGGACAGTCAAAACCATATGACAGATCACTTCCTGACACAGTATTTCTTTCTCGCTTGCTTCCTGTTTTCCAAGCGTATTTGCCCTCAGGTCCAAATCGTCTCTTTGAGCAATCATTGAATCGGCAGCATTACTCCCAGCTGCAAAGAGAGGGAGGGACGTGACGTCTAACCATGCAAGCGGCATGGGCAACAAGACGCAGCCAGGTCTCTGGTTCATTCCACCTGTCTGGCTCTCAAAAGCTTCTTGGGTGTGGTTGTCAGATTTTTGCACATCAGCCAAAAATCCTCCCATCAGATCTGTTGAACTCATCAGATGTTGCAGCTTTTGAAGCTGAAAACTGTCCCAGCGTCCCACTGACTGCTGTGATATCCTCATTTATTGGTAACGTACTTTTTTTTTTTTTAAATTAAATTAAACTAAATCACACATTTCAACACTTACACCTCTCTGTCTCCTCTCCAGGAGTGTGGAGCACCAGCCTCGGGTGATTCCACCTTTTCATTTCCGCCTTAAAACAGTACAGCTGTACAACCTGGTTAAATCGTAATATCCAAATATTTTATTTTTCAGAAAATAATTCAAATTGTTTAGAAATTATTGATGCTATTTCATGCTGTTAATCACATCATTGTGAAAGATAGAATGAAGAAGTAAGTGCTCTGTAAATTTCTGTATTATTACTTTTTAATTACTAATAGAGACCTAAGATTTTATTTATTATTTTGTTATTTATACTGACATTGATTGAGTCATTGACTGACATTAAAGTAGTAACTTTTAAAGTGTATATTGACATATACATCATACACACACATAGTACATTCCTATATGTCAGCATGCGTGTGTGGATGGAAATAGTTCACTTAATATATATATGTTGGTGTAGATTATGGTGGGTCTACTTGTGCATGAAATGTCTGTCTGTATTTTTATTGGAAGACGATGCAAAAAAAACCAAAACAAACTTGTAGCTGACACGAGCTGCGTCAGCTCCAGTTTCAGTGGTGTTTTCTGTAGGGACTGGATCTCTGAAAGGGAAAAGAAAGTGTCATCAATGTCATACTTGTCGCTGAAGTTTGCTGATCTCCTCCTCCTCCTCCTCCTCCTCCTCCAAATCCTGCATCAGCTGCTGCATCTCAATCAGTTTTGACACAAAATACAATAAGACAAAAGTTAACACAAACATCATAACTTACTTATGTTTTACACTCAGTTTGCAGTTTATTAAGAACGCCTAGTTAAAATTATTGCAGTCTAATACAACAGTCCTGCAGTTAATTTGAAAAAGGTTTTAATGTTCAGTTTCTGTCTTTCTGCTGATCACTCACATTGATGCGTGGACGGCTGCTTTTGGCTGAAGTTGTGTTTGACTGAAACTGTCTGCTGTGTCCAACAGGGGGCAGCACCTGCTTGAAGAAGAGAACAAATATCGTTTTCCATCATCAGTGAAGTTGAAAATATCCATGAATCATATTTTACTGTAGGAGTGTATGAAGCGTGCACACTAATCACTAATGATCAATTAAAACTAACATAAGTGGAATAAGGATTGAAACTGGAGACTGTTATAACTAAAGTTATTATTATTACCAGTTTTACAAATAATCATCAGAATCAGAAAACTGTATTGATCACCAGGGGGAAATTATTTTACGTTACAGTTGCTCCCTCAGGAACGGAAATGTAACAGTAAATAATAAGAAGTAAGATTATAAAGATAAAGATAAAATATAAAGATATAAAAGTATGTCCATATACTATTATATACAAATGGAAATATGTAAGGAAATGTGCCACTGCTATTGAAAGGTGATAGTTAAAATATAAGGTTAAAATAAAACTGATGAATTGATTAGATGATCAACTGAAAAATCATCAGACAAAACACGAATTTTAAAGATGTCATCTTGCAAATCCTGATAATTTTCTTATAATTTAGAGCCTAAATGAATCACACAGAGCTACATATAGAGAAAATATATGGCAAACCAATTGTAAATAACATTTACATAAAGTCATTTTCAATTAGTTTACGACTCCCTCGACAGAATGACCATGTAGATAAGACAGCTGTGCTGCGGTTTGTGTCTAATTTTATATTTCTCTCTCTGCTGTGGCTGTGTTTTTATGGAGGTATGTGTGTTCTGTTACGTCTTAATACAGATCTCTGTTAACTCTGGCATGGTAAGGAAGAAGTGCTAACTGATGAGTTTCTGTGAGAGCAGGTTAAATATACGTAAACACACTTATGCACGAGTCCCTACATGAAAGAGAGACTTGATTTCTGGTTGAAATGTGTCGTCTATGTTGCAGGCTGTGCATCATTTTCACTCATGTTGTACCTCCACTTCAGCCTGTTTGCATGTCTTATGCTGTGGCCCAGGTTCATTCATGTTTTTTGGGGGTTTTTCTTTTTAGCTTTTATTTGCAGTGTTTTTATATATTCTATATATGTCCCTTCATTTTGTCTTTTTACCTCAGTGACAGTTTAAAAGAAAGTTTCTTATTTGTTCTGATGGACAGTCAGAAAAGAGCAGAGGGAGGAAGCAGAGAGAGAGAGAGAGAGAGAGAGAGAGAGAACATGCACACACACACACACACACACATATACAGACACACAAATCCAACCCACAACCTTTCACAACTGTTCTAGTGTATGCAAAGGCAGATGAATCAGTGCTTTGTGGTCGTGTTGCAGGGGAGTACTGGCCACCCTGATGGCTGCTGCTGCTGCTGCTGCTGCTGCTGCTGCTTCCATTCTCACACACAGTCATAAAAAGCCTGACGTGATCTCAGACAAGTTCAGGAAGACACCACTCACACTCACAGATGCTCATAAATGGGATGTTTGATGCATTTGTGCAGAGAGTGCAAACAATTATTACTATATATTGGCTGTCTTTCTATTGTTTTTGCAAGCACATTGTAATTCATTTTAATCCATTCTATGCACATATGGTCTCTTAGCTCCTTGGACACTTACTCTGTAAAGACTTAAGACTGTGGCCTATTTTAAAATACCAACACCTCGTTTTCCTGTCAAACAAGAAACCTGGAAACAGCGAAAAAGTGCAACACTGCTCTCATAACACCCACAAGTTTACCTTCACGTCACTTCTTGGTGCGTTCAGGTGCCTCCTTGAATAGATCAACCCTGGAGTGCCAACAGATCCCTGCCGGCCTGTGCGTGTGTTGCTCTGGGAGGGGGTGGGAAGGTGGTGGTGGGGGGGTGAATTTGTGGAGGCGTGGTCCGCCGTGTTGCGCGTTGCTAAGCGTAAATTTGGCATATAAGCGCAAAATGAGCAGCAGTCCCACGCAGCCAGCAGCGCACTGCGGGACCTGAGGAATTCAACAGGTACCTATAGACATTTCTGAGCTCTCTGTCTCCCAGAGCGGATGTACAGTGTGAAGGAGAGCTGACTGCCTGCACTCATTATGTGTGATAGATGGAATTAATTGGACAACGATCGCTCTGCAATAAACTGAAGAGGTTTTGGCATCTGGAATATTTCACCTGGGAGATATTTTTGATCAGTTTTGGCGGAATCTAAAGGTGAACTTGCACCATACTTTATTATGTCACTTAGGAGTGTGTGTGTGTGTGTGTGTGTGTGTCTGTCTGTGTTTGCATGTAGTTTCTAGCAGCTTTTGTTTTGTCACTAAAATATTTTACAATATTGTCTGTTATGTGACTTTTTCTATAGTTTTAGTGTAAAAAAAAAAAAATCACCTAAGTATTTTAGTTACTGAAGGAATCCTTAAAAAGAAAATCTCAATGTTCATGTTTTTTTTTTTAAATAGAAATTAAAATGCTGCAAGCCTCCCTGCAGCGCATGTAGGCACATACAGTACAGTAACTCACGCATGCGCACTGAATATCACGCTCTGCAACATAACGTGTGAAAACTGAGTTTACACTAGTCCCACTGTGTGTAGTGATGCGGTGACCTGCGGATGCACTCGGGCTGCTGAGAGCTGTTAGACTTAACTGTTTGAAGTGAAGTCCCTCCATGATTACAGCATTATTAAACTGAGACAGATTGAAGCCGCCTTTTCTTTTTTAAAGATGCTCTAATGTAGGTAAGCTCGCTGAGAAGGGAGAAGATTAATGTGCACTCATGTAAATGTTTAGCTGGGATTTGCTTTTAATGAAAAGAACTAAAATAGATGCATGCAAGCTTTGTTTTCTCGTGCAGTCTGAAGTAATAAAGCAGGAATTTAAAACTCGAGCTTCTCTTAACTCAACATGCATTCTCTGTTCTGCAGGCAACAAAAAGTACCCTTCATTCTGCAGCAGTATTTTTCCTCGTCATGAAGAGTCCTCTTCCTTTCCTGGGCTGGGTTAGAGCGGCGAGCTTGTTCCTGTGCTTGACCCAGACCGTCCTGGCCATGGTCCTCACCAACTCCACGCGCCTGGAGTCCATCCTGGACAGGTACAGGGACAAGGATGAGGAGTGGTGGAGGGCAAGGCCGAGAGGGAAGAGGGCCATCAGCGAGGGCGACATGCACCTCATTCTGGACCTGCACAACAAGCTGCGTGGCCAGGTCCACCCTCCTGCCTCCAACATGGAGTACATGGTAAGTGCTGCGGACACTTCTATCAGAGTTTAAACTAACATTAGCAGCTATCTTTCCTGCTCTTTACTGGATTTGGGGAGGTTCATGCACCAGTGTTGCTCATTATGGCGTCACACTTTGGTCAGTCCAAGTATGTAAGCCAAGCATCCACACAGGGTTATGTTAGAACAATATTATTCCATTTTCCTGTGTCATGTAGGACTTACTGGCTGTAACTGCAATTCTTTGTTTCCACATTTGCTACATGGTGAGCATGCTAACTTTTTTTGCCAGGGAACTTTAGCCTGTTAGCACAATGTCATTTATGAAGCCACCAAGCGCATATTCAAGACCCTTTTACATGGTTCTTGTTTTAAAATATAAAATAAAGTAATTCGGGAAAAAAAAAAAAAATCAACCAGAGAGCGTTTTTCACCAAATAATAGAGCTAACGTTAGCTTAATCAGCTAGCCCTCTGACAAAAATCCATGGCCATCAGCTAAAAATAAAGAGACCCACAATATGAATTTTGAGTGGTAAATTTGCGTGATATATCTTATACCAGCTGCATATAGATTGTGCAAAGAGCACACACACAGAATGAATATAAAGATGGACGACATGACAAAACACCTTGAGTGCCCTCTGGTGGCTGGCCGCAGTATAGGTCATAAACCCCGCCCCCTCTCTATGTTAGCAACATCAAAGCGTACGCCATCGTTTCTGTCCTTTTTGGTAAGTGTTAATTTATATGATAAGTTTGGTTTTAATTAATTATTTGATGCTATAAAACATCGTGATTGACAGCTGTGATTGCGTCACAATTGGGACGCTCCACTCCCAGATCGCTACTGCGCAAACTCTGGCTCCAAATTACATCACCAGATGACATCACCAGTGCAAGACGGCAGCGCTCTTATATTTTGGGCTTCATTTTCGTACAGAGAGAGGAAGTGGAGATGCGTCGTCCATCTTTACATACAGACGTTGGTGAGGGGGTCATATATATATATATACATATATATTTATAATCAAGATCAGGAGAGTGTGTCATTGTGACTGCCTGCATACATATATCAATAGAATAGATCCGGCAGGGGTTCATATCAAGTGACCCAGGCCAAAGCCCTCTCATGTAGCTCTGTCAACTAAAGACAGCAGAGTAGGGAAGGAAAGACTTGCTCCTGCCTCCTGCCTGCCCGGCCTCGCTGACCCTGGCCCAGATCCAGCTTTCACCCCCACAGTGTTGTCCTGCCCTCTACCTCAACCACCCTGCCCTCCCTCCCTCCCTTCCTGCCCAGTGTCTCCTTACTATATCACTCCATTTCTCCTCCTGCTGACTCTTTTCTCTCTCTCTCTCTCCCCCCTCCTCTTTCACTCTCTCCTTTCTCCTCCTCTCTCCCCATCCGTCGCAGCTCACTCAAACCCTGGCCGAGGTCCATGTTATCTTTTATTTGATCCTCCACGCATCTCATTTCGGGTGCCGTAGCGGTGAATCTATTTCAAACATGTCAAGCCCCTGTCGTTTGAAGTGCGGGGCACAGTAGTGTAAATGTATGTTATGTACACTAATCCAGTGTTTCTTTAGCGAGGGATACTATTACTGATGATAATGATGTGGTGAGGCAGGGGACTGATGAGGGCCAAGTATTTGGTTTTCAGATTGCAGGATCTGGAGAGGCCGAAGGGGCTGCACCTCACTGCAGCTCTGACTCCCTGATTTCACACAAAAGCCATTCAGCAAATGCCTGTAGAGCACTGTTGCGTCCGTTAATCTAGAGCACGTCATTTCATGCCCAGCAGATCCTTTCCTGAGAAACAGAGACTCCCATAATCGCAACCACTTTCTACGCTGTATTGAATACGAATTACGAGCGTTTATGTGAACCGATTTTGCGTACTTTGAATTTCAAAAACAATGGCTACTTGTTTTCTACTACCTTGAGAACACGTCTTAAATCTACTGCTGTACGAATGCACATCTCGCACTTAGCTCTGGTGGTCCCTGGCAGATGGAGATGGCTGGAAACAGGTCTGTATTTGGGGAACTTAATGCTCTTTGGAATGCAAAAGCAGATTGGTAGTTGTTACCGTGACCTCCCTCCAAAGGCTGGTGGGCAGTCCATCTTCCCCTCTGCGGGATAATTGAGGGTGAAGAATAACAAGAACACGGGGAGAATAATGAGCTGGCAGAGATCACTGGTATCCGCTGTGGGTTGCTTCTCGCACTGTTTGTACTGAACAAATGAAAAAAAAAAGAAAAGGGGGAAGCATGAGCGAACAGTTCAGTCCCTGTACACTTTCTCACCTCCGCTCACCTTTTCTCTGTGTTTCTGTTTGTACTTTGTCGTCAAGTAAGAAGTGCTCGACGAATTTTCACTTTTGAAAAGTTGCAGAAATCATCAGAGACAGCTCCCCCTCCCTTTCTATGTCACAAAAGACAATCAAACACTTTGTTTGAAACATAAGTCAACATGAGTCATTGGAGAGATCATCTTCATAGTTCATAGAGATAAACACTGACTTTTGAGAAGAGAAGACAAAAAGAAGAAACGCAGTGTCAAAGTCGAACTTTTTACATTTCGCCAGGCAAAATGTGCAAGCACTCATTCTTGATAGATTACTTTCTAACATGAATGCAATAGTTCAACTGTTAAACCGGGAATACACCGACTGCGTGTTGTGGCGATTGTGAAACGTCTTGGTTTTCATTTCAGCGCCCATGTTGACGGGTTGGAGCACGTGCCTCGTGGCTGCGTCACGTGATCTAGAGATTCGGCATCTGGCTTATTTATTTACACAGTTAGACAGAGAAAAGACCTGTTGATGTCATATCGACATCATACCACCAACATTACATAAAATTAACACCTTTCACTGTAGTTTCCGTGTCTGTTACGCTGAATCTGAATATGATACAGACATGGAAAAATATAAATACGATATATTTTTTTAACCATTTTAGCAGCTGCATGTGGAGACAGTGACATTTTATCTCAAAAATAAACCAGCTACTAATTTATAATGAAAGAAATCCAACATTCGAGTAGCTATGTAGAAAGATAGATCCGGCAGTAGCAGTGACGCAGCCGCAACACAGCCGCAACGCACAAGTAACACCGGCAGATGTTAGACAGTTGAGATGGAGGATGAAGTGATTTATAGATCCATAATCTGCTGGGCAGTTTTTGATATTTGATAAGCCCTGAAATTCTTTGATCTGTTGCCCACAAGCCCCTTGCATTATTTTATGTTTATATGTTTGGTCCGAACGCCCAGTAAAGGTCACATCACTCTTATGTCCTGCAATTGTTCTTCCCCATTTCCTGTTCACTTAAACTGAAACCGACACAACGGACGAATTCGGACATGTTTCGGCTGCTTTGAGTTTTTCATCGACTGGCACTTTTCATTTGTCTGGTGAGGACAGTTTCCTTTTTCCATCGCCTGATGGTATCAGAACTGGTTCAACCCTATCCTTCAACTGAGGCCAAACGAGCGGAGAATAATTAAATGTGGAAAATTCCACCTAACGACTACTGCAAAAATGCGGTATCACATGGCAGGGCCTCAGTGTCGGTAGCTCAAGTCACAGCTGGATTGTGGCCGAACTAAGGAGTCAAAATATCACCTCTCCAACCAGGCCTGAAGAGTAAGCAGCACCACGGTGAATGGGCAACAGCGCAAACACTAAACACAGTGTGTCGGCCTTACCGAGCATATGGAACGCATTATGGTGGTCAATCGGCGCCGTTACAACGCCACACTTGAGCATTATCCCATTAGTTTTGACGTGTGATAGCCGTAATGCAACTAAACAGTACGCCAACAGCAGAGCACACTGCGCCTATTCTTCTACCTCCCCCGGCAGTAAATTTACTCTGCCGTAACATTTGGATTGCTCAGTCTTAAGCCCACGTTTCTGCTTTGTCCAAAACAAGGAGGTGTGTGAATAGTTTTCAGCTATTTTCACTTAAATTGAGTTCAGTTTAGTCATGTTTCTACGGTAAGGATGGCATCAAGCCTCCAAACAGAGACTCTCTGTTTTGCTTCTTTCTTTCTTTTTTTTCTTCTTCTTCTTCTCTTGCTTGTTTTATGAGACCAAAACTTACTGGAAACAAGCTATCAAACAACCACACAGAATAGTAACACAAAGCTGCAAGTTGCTGCGGTGGTGGTGATACCTCTCTGTTTCCCCCTTCGCTCTCATATACGTGTCTGTGTGGAAGAGAGTGAGTGTGTGTGTTTAATAGGAGAGGCCTAGTTTTGACTACACTGTGTTAAATTTGCGAGAGGCATGCACACAACCACAGCGCTTTAAGGTAAAGAGCAGCTTCATCTTTCAGGTTTACTTCGCCTCCAAGTATGTTTCAGATTAGTTTCAATGGAATTTAGTTTCTTCAAAGGGAATGAAGAGATATCTGTTAAAAAAAAAAAAAATGTAATGAGTAGTAATTAAAGCCACAACTATGGTAAGTGGCCACTTAAATCAGGAGGGTGATCAGGAGTGGAGTTTCAGGTCTGCAAACATCTGTTAAGAGACAAAGCTGCTCTGGACCTGGAGTCACAGAGAAAAACAAACCTTCAGAGCTTCCTGAGCCAAATAACTTTTTAACCAAGATCCTGTTGTGTGTGGTTCTCTGTGTGTGTGTGTGTGTGTGTGTGTGTGTGTGTGTGTGTGTGTGTGCTCCCCAGGTATGGGATTATGAGTTGGAGAGGAGCGCAGAGCACTGGGCACATACCTGCCAATGGGAACATGGACCGAGCCACATGTTGACACAGATAGGCCAAAACCTCGGAGCGCACTGGGGCAGGTGTGTATCTACAAATATTACCGTAGAGTGGAGAATATATGTATATGAAATATGTTTTTATTTTTCCTAACATCACAGCTGAGGCGCTGTTCTTTGTTTAAATGTTAAGTGTCATTAACGGTTTGTGGTTGTTGAATAAATATGGTTTAAATATGATTTTTTTTATTAGTTGCTTCCACTATTGTTGTTAATGATTAATTAAAATTTGTGGGGTGAATCTATCAATTCAAAGTTAGTGGCTCTAAGAGATTATATGAACTGAAGGAGGAGCTTTTTGCAGAAGGAGTCGCTCTGCAGACTGATTTACTGACAGTCCTACTTTAAAACAAGAAACCTTTATATAATGTCAATTTAAATGCCTGTGCTGTCTGGGGAGTGATTAGTTAAAATGGGTTATTTACATTTTGAGCATTATTCCGTCATTGCTGAGCATTAGCTCCATGTTTTTTAGTATTTAGTTCGGTCCTGTTGATAAAATCAGCAAAGTGGCAGCAGACTGACGCTGTGCCAGGAACAGACGTCTGTTCTCGGTTACAAGTCTAAGACGCATTTTTCCGCTAAAATACCAACAGCTCACTTTGTGCTGCCTCATTTGAATGACCCTCCCACGGGTGTACACCTGCGCACCCCGCACCCTCCGCGTTTTGCACCTGGATATCACACAGATGCACAAAGGGAATTTCAGGGCTGGGAAATTACCACACTGTGCAGCTTCAGAGGTCGTTGCGCCGCCGTGAAAATAGGATCCCATATCTGTAATTTAAAGCCACATGCACTGGCTACCATTATATTATTGTGACAGTTATTTCCTTATAGGAAGAAATCAACCAACAAATTAGATGTAACTGCATTTATGTCATGCCATGTCTTCAGCATATGTATTATATCATGATTTTTTTTGGTGACATAATTAAAAGATATATACATATACAGAGATTACAACACCTCCTCTGTCACTTTAGGGACCGTCCCCCAACCTACCACGTCCAGGCCTGGTATGATGAGGTGAGATACTACAGCTACCCCTACTCCCAGGAGTGTAACCCTCACTGCCCGTTCAGATGTTCTGGACCCGTGTGCACTCACTACACTCAGGTAAAAAGGCTTTTATATTTACATGTGTTTAAGGGGGGAAAAAAAGTGCCTTGGGGTTATCTTTCCTTTATTTAAAAAAAAAATTAATTGACTTTGAAAAACAACTGAATATATTGTTCTGATTTAGAGAGGGAACTGTGTTGCACTCAGGTATAATGTGTATTTCCACATACTAAAATCATGCCTCGTGTTCAATGTGAGAGGACGACTGGACGCTTCACTTTGTTTGTGTGTTTCAATTCCAGCTGGTGTGGGCTACTAGTAATCGTATTGGTTGTGCCATCAACGTGTGTTACAACATGAACGTGTGGGGAATGATCTGGGCCAAAGCTGTGTATCTGGTCTGCAACTACTCTCCTCCGTAAGTTTAGGACTCGTTTCAAAAAGCTGTGACGCCACTACCTTAAAAAAGATTAGATCATCGATTAAATCATTCACCAAACATACACATTTCAAACTTATCACTTCTTTGTGAGATTTCTGAAGAGACCTGTTAAAAACCAAAGCATCAAGATTCAGCCTCCACAACACAGAAGTTTTTCTTGGTCACGAAATAAAAATGAGGATGCGATTGTTATTTCAGGGGGAACTGGTGGGGTCATGCTCCATATAAATATGGGACGCCCTGCTCCGCCTGTCCAGCCAGCTACGCAGGAGGCTGCAGGGACAACCTCTGCTATAAAGGTGAGTTTGGGTGGAGACTTGAGGTCTTCAGCTCCTTAGCATCCTTTGCACCTTGACAAAAAATGACGGGAGATACTCCTGGTGTTAATCGAAGAGAACAGGTTTGCCCCACGTTCTGTTCGGTTCTCGTAAAAGTTTGGGTCAAAACGTCCAGCTAACGCGGTGTCCACGTTTCCAGACGGGGGTGTGGACAGACGTCCTCCTCCTGAGATCGAGGAGACCAACTACATTGAACCTGAACCCGAACCAGTGAGGGACAGAGATCCCCAGCCCAGGGCCCAGTCGCCAGACCCCTCCCCCAATGACAACCTGGACAGAAACCAGGCTGTCAGCACAGAGCAGATGTGTAAGCAGTGCTACTATCTCTGAATGGGACGATTAAGCATGTGTAACATTATTAGCATTATTAGCATTAGCACATTATTTGTAAAAAGCTCTTGTTTGTTATTTTAGGTCAACAGGTCGAGTGTGACACTAAACTGAGGGATCAATGCAAGGGAACAACCTGTAACAGGTAAATGCTGATGAACAGACCGACACTGATGAACATCACATAATCGATGAAAATTATTTTACAGCACATGCAAGTAATATTTGTTGTACAGCATCAGATAAATGATCATTTCCAGAAAAAAAAAAACGTTATACTTTACATCATTGTTGTTTCTGTCTGTAGATATGAGTGTCCGCCCGGCTGCCTTGACAGGGCTGGAAAAGTGGTTGGGACTGGACATTATGACATGGTAAATAATCACTAACAACAGCTCTGTGTTTATTATATTATATGATATCCTACAGGACAACGAGAGCCTAGAAAAATAAGCTACTGTAAATGTTATGGCGACAGAATGTGTGTGCTTACGTTTTTACATACGTATCAACTGATGCCTTCACTGCAGCAATCCAGTGTGTGTGGAGCTGCGTTACACTCTGGTGTTATTGACAACGATGGAGGATGGCTGGATGTGACCCGGCTGGGCAGGAAGCAACAATTCACCAAATCATACAAGAATGGTATTCAGTCAATTGGGTATGAAGCAGTCTTTGTATTTAGTTTTTAATCCAGTCTAGATATATAGTGTAGTGACTCCCTTTATAGGGGGTGTGGTGTTCAACTAATGATGCACAATTAATTTCACAGGAAAAACAGAAGTGCAAATTCCTTCAAAGTAGAGTCAGTGCCTGGTAAGACGCAGACAATCACTTCTTACTGTAAAAGATACAAATGTGATGTAAACCACGTACAGAAACTCTGTGGGGTCATTTTGCTGTGCTTTCCTTTTTCTCCTCCCAGTCAAGGCTGTAAGATGCGATACCACCGTGGCACTTTTCTGCCCCTTCAAGAAACCTCTACGACACTGTCCCAGGTAACGTTCTGCTGCGACGGCCGGAGCTTTTGTGTCGACTGAAAACATCTCCGTGTTTTAAATGAAACCGCAGTCGGCTGAGACAATGACCTCGCAGTAATAAGAGGCGTATGTCACCTTCCAAAGTCAAAGTAAAGCAGCAACACTAGCTTATAGCAAGAGTCAGCTAAGATACTCTCAGCTATCCTGCTAACCTTTCAGCATCATCGGTGAAGGAACGTTTGCATTTTCAGATTTTCAGATTTGCCGTGTAAAGTTATAGGTAGCAAAGCAGGAAGGAGCGCTTTTATAAAATCTTTATATCCAAGACATCTGACATGCTCTGAAAATCTGACTTCATCAATATCATGCAGATCAAACATATTTTAATTCCTGAGACTGCACTGAAAATATCTGCCGACCTGACCTGAGCTCTGTTTTTGTCTTCAGGTTGTATTGTCCCAGGAACTGTTTGCGTGACGGTCGAGCCCGAGTCATCGGGACAAAGTTTTACTCAGACGTGAGTTTCTGCATCGTTGTCATGAACTGATCATTACATAAGTAAAGCACAGGTGTAATTAACACCAGTAGTGATGGCTTGATTCCATTTAAGTGCCCATACATACTGTACATGTCTACCTCATACAACCCCACGTCAAGTAACCTGAACTATCACCTTAATTTAACTTTTTATTTTTACTGGCCTACACGTCCTTTTTCAGACATTTCGACTTGTAGTTGCAGGAAACGGACCGGTGTAACTAATAACACTAATTCAGCCAGCATGGGAAATACCAGGGTCTTTATCAAGATTAGTTACACCTGTGCATTTTCATCTTAAAGGCTTTAGCTTGAAGGAGCTATTTGTTAGTTTTGCTCTTGCTACATAGCCAACGTTTGCATTAACGTCTCTCAACGTGTCTCCAGCTGTGGAAAGCAAACACCAGTGTGAACCACTGTCTCTCTCGCGTCTTTTCTTCTACTGAAGTTAGCATGCTAACCACCTAGCCCCGACCCGTCTCGTCACTCTCCATTAGCGACTCACTGTAGCCTCCGTTTCATCCAGAAATCCAGTATCTGCAGAGCGGCCATTCACGCTGGAGTGATCCAGAATGAGTCCGGGGGTTACCTGGATGTGATGCCGGTGGACAAAAGGAGGCAGTACGGTGGCAGTTACCAGAACGGCATCACTTCAGAGAGGTATGATTAAAAATATTTACAAGAATAATTATGCATGCAATTAAATGGATAAGTTGAATTCCCGTCTGTGATTACCTTGGTCGAATTTTAGTGATTTAGCGTTTAAGGTCCAATTCAAATACATATTTATATCAAAATGTGTCATTGCTTCTTCCAGCCTAGTGAACCCAACAGGAGGGAAAGCCTTCAGAGTGTTTGCAGTCATCTGAAAAACCGCTCTCGAGGGGCAGAGCACCGTTAAAACATGGCCACTTCACATCCAGCAGACCCACTCATTATCATCTCACGATCTGTAATTACATTCACTCCTACAGTAAATAATTCAGCTGCTCAGCCTCTTGACACCGAGAGCGCAACGCGACTTTTATATTAAGGCTTCCCTTTTGAAGTTTGGTTGTGATTCCAAGAATAGCTTAGCAAGGGATGTTTGGTGAGCGATGATCTTGGATGTCTCTGGCCTTACGTCTGTCCATAGCTGACCATAATAATCACATTGGGGCTACCTTTGCTGACATGATATCATGACATCATGTTTTCTAACACTTAAAACACTTGAATATACTGTACGCCACCAGATTTAGCACCACTCCAGCTGCCTGCCCAATGTGGGTTTGTTTAATGTCCTAATAGTTTGTGTATAGTTTATTAAATCATGCTTTTGTGCTTGTGCATACTTTTTTTTTTTTTTTTTTTTAATTTTTTAAATAGCTTTTAAGATAAATCAGGTCATTCACGCAAGGAGAAATATTTTATTTTATGTATTTAACTCCTGTTAAGTCTGGTCTGTGCCTCCCTATATCCTCCCTTTTCGTCACCGTGGTAACACACAGCATAAGCAACAAAGCAGGCAGTCAAATACAGATTGTATATTTCTGTACATAATAATGTTGTAAATAATGCTGAACACTATGCATGTATATGAAATGCTTGCTACCGTTGCCTTTTTCATTTATATTTCTAACACACTAAAAGCCACACAAATTCAAAAAAATAGAAGGTGGTGAAACAGCTTCTGCATGCAAAACATATATTTATCACTCAAGATTTTAATTTTTATAAAGGACAAATTCCATCATAATTTCAATATATTCATATGTTTGTAAATATTGTGTATGTAACATATTGTTTTATTTTATGCTGCATTTCCCAGCTTTTGTTTATAGGATTATATAAATGGACCCTGGCTGGCCAGGAATGTGCATGGCAGAATCATAATTAAAATACTTGGATATGAAAATTCAAATGTTTCTTATTTTTTATTTTTTTTCGCTATTTCTCATTGTATTAAAGAGTCTGTGTCATAAAATCAATAAACTATATTCTCCTGCTGAGGATTAACGTCTCAGAAAAGTTACAGGTTGGACTACATTTCTCTTGTTTTCAGTTTTTGCAGGTATGTGGTTGAGCGGACAAAGATTTCACCAATGTCTCAAATTCAGCTGCAGATCAAACTTACAAGTGAAATTTCTTTCTAGAAAGTTGTGGGTGTTTCCAGGAACCGTGGGGAACACAGAGGAAGAGAAATCTGTCCGTGTCAGGTCCAGGGAAGAGATGTTATCTACGAGTTGGCTTTTTACGCTTAAAGTAACGGGGGAAAATAAAAATAGTTGTCAGTTCAGCCAAAACAGTAGACGTCATTACAGTTTACCAACTGAACTTAACACAGAAACTATTCATGTTTATGAATAGTTGTCAATCCAACGTACGATTTGATGCCGAAAAAATAAAAACTCAGTTCAAGGATCAGAACATTTTGAGAATAAAGAAGTCTCAGCAATAGCAATTTTTACCTCACATTGTATGAATCAACGTGATACTTCAAGGTGTTAGAGCATGATCCTGTCATCTTTTATATCACATCCCCTTTTTTTTCTTTTTTTAAGAGCAAACCAAGTTTAATCTCCGTTCTGTGGGTCCTGCTTTTTAAAGTGCTCAGACCCACTCGCTGCGCCACTGGCTGGATAAACAAAGACCAACTTTGTGTTTTGTTTATCTCAATCTCTCAGCTTCCCAGGATGCATTTCCGCTCCTTCCTCTGGACGGGCACAGATGTGTTGAGGCGCCAGTCCCAGTCCCCATCAGTCACACACACACACACACACACACACACACATACATAGGAAGGTGTACATGGAGGCACACGTTAACATAAGGCAGACACACAGAGACACACTCACTTTTACTTTGCAGAACCTTTAAAGAAGGTTTTTGTAAGTGTTGCTATCGCTACATAGCTACTTAATGAGTCGAGAAGAAACGTTGCAAGTTCAGCATCGAACTTCATTCCTTCACTCACCAAGATCTGTCTCCAGCAGTGGAAACCAAACCCTATTTCTATCACTTCTTTTCTTCTAAGTTAGCATTCCACCCAGCTAGCGCGTCTGTCTGTCTTGTCACTTTCCGATACCGAGTCACTGAGGAGATACCGAGTCACTGAGGTGTCCAGTCTGCTCAGAGGACGTATTGTAACCTCTTTTATTGCAAAAGCTCAAGACTTTCTGATAGCGACTCACTGTAGCCTCCGATCTGCCCTGAAGACGTAGTGCTGCAGCGTATTACAACCTCTTGTCTTGTAAACGCAACAATGGCCGAAGCTCTTGTCACGCGACAATCAGCACCACAAGCTCCCAGTAAGAAAACTTACAAATAGCCCTATTAAACGGAGAAGTACACAAAAATTGTGAACATATTACGGATACTTGAGTTTTGACATCTTCTGAAACAGGATTTAAACAACAGAACACAGAAACATCGACAACAAAATCAACTGAAAAATGCCAGTATTGGTGAACGGCCCAGTCCAATGGTCACAGGAGATAGGTTACCCCCTTTTTCCTGAATGTATCTCACATAAAGCAGCTATGAGCCAAGATTATATATGCTCACTGGGTTTGGGCCAGTTCTCTTGGAGAAAAGAGGCGAGCATCGCAGCGCTGTCAAAATTCACACGGCCTTGTTGCAGAGGCGGCCATTGGCACGGGACTCCCGTGAACTCCTGCTGGTCAGTTAGACCGGCCTGTCAGTCAGAAAACAGCCAGTCAAACAGCAGTGGTATCCAAACATCAAGTGGAGGCAGGCAACGCTCCATCAGCATGACGCTCAGTCCGTCAGTCGTAACGCCATCTTGTCAGACAAATAGCCACTCACTTCGCCGAGCCGTCCACTGCAGCAGAGAAACAGGCTTCTCAGTGAAGCTGAGGCTTTAGCATGGGTGTTCACAAATCTAGTTTCTCACCTAAAGTAATAATTCAGTGTTTGATGATGTGTGTTAAGTCGCTTTCTTGCTGAGCGTTAGATGAGAAATTGATACCGCTCTAATATCTGTCAATTAAATACGAAGTTGGAGCCGGAAGATTGTTCGATTTACTTAAGTAGAGGGGGGAAATAACTAGCCTTGCTCCGGTCAAAAAATAACTAAATAAATGAAAATCGACTCGACCAGCACCTCTAAAGTTCACTTATTGCCAAGTTACATCACGTTTGTTTAATCTGTACAAAAATAAAACGGTTTTACGAGCGTTTGTGTGCTGGATTCATTCTTAGATGGATTCTCGGTAGAAATTTATACTTTACAATATACTAAAAAGTCCCTATAAGAACAAACAAAGTTCTATCCACCTCCATTGTGACTGGGCGGAGCCAGACACCTGGTCAATAAAAACCCAACTAGGTGAGTGAGACAACATATTTTTTTTAAATAATTTGGATGAACTGATGCAAATACAATCACAGAGAGGAAAAACCCTGAAAGTTCAGTCTTGAGCACAGAAGCAAATAGTCTGTTTCTGAAGAGGACCCTCCTACACAGAAGCCAGGTTTTTCATCCGAAAGAAATTAAACATATTTCTGATAAAAAAGCAAGTGTGTTTCCATCCACTGCTCTTATGGAAGTAACAAATGGTGGCTTTAACTTTCGAGTGGAGAGCCATTAAACTGTTGCAAAGGAAGGAGATGATGTTATTAAAAAAAAAAAAGCTTCAGTCAAACCTCAGACAAAAGAAATTAGGCAACTTGGAAATGCACAGAAAAACAGGAGGAAACTCTAGTTAACTCTCCTAACTCGCTAGTTAGAGAATTATATTCAGCACCATAAGCTCTCTGCTCGTACGCCCCCCGATCAATGCAAGACAAACATTATCAACCAACGCATAACAACCAAAATGTCTCGCTGCGCTCTGCGAAACATGGCGGAGTATGCAGTATTTAAAGTGGCCCAGGTGCACTGCTAGGAATTCAGCCCCCCACCTACCCCCCCGACAAGGAGGGGAACTTGGCCCCTTGACCTTGATGTGTTGAACTCAGCACAGTATAACCTGGCATCTTTGAGAGGGCCCCCGCCGAGTTCAAGGACGCGCTCTCCCCCTCCGTGAGCCACACTTCTCAGCAAGCCGCTGCATACATCGGATGCCTCAGTAAATTTGCATCAGGGCCAAAAAAGCCTCCGAAAAGGTTCACTCTCAAACCAAACTAAACTGAGTCACCCTACTTTGCTTCTATATTTTGCACTTACAGTCATAACTGTCATCTCATGATCCTTTAAATAAAACTAGTTACAGGCCCAGAACACTTAATCCATAACATTTAGCTGTAAAGGAAAGTATGAGTCTTTTCATAGCCGATGAATAAATAGTCGCGGCTGGTATTTGTGTAAGTCTAACAACACACTGCTGTGTTGCCAGTTTTAGCGATAAAACCTTTTTGATTGTGTGTGTTGGTCAGAAAAATACAGAAACGTCAAATGAACGTAGCAATTATGAGGGTTTTTGAGATATGTTTGAAATTCGGACGCAGCTGGCCGTGCCTGAAACACACAGGTGTGCGTGCATATGTGTGTTTGTGTATGCACACACCTCCACAGTGTGTAGTCGTGCATGTGTCAGGGATGTGTAGAAGTGAGGCACTTTTTTTTCTATATATAAATCATGCAATCACTCTCCATGCTTTATAGCCGGCTCCCTCAGGCGGTTAACTCCCGGGCGGACACACACCGTGCATGTGGGCTAACAATCACTGCAGACAGGATGAGAAATAATGTCTCTGTATGTTGTGTGTGTGTGTGTGTGTGTGTGTGTGTGTGTGTGTGTGTGTGTGTGTGTGCTGGTGTCTGAGTGTGTGGTTGGACTTCCTCCTCTCAGCCCTCCGCCACTCATAGATTTAGACGTCGTTATTATTTTAACATAGTTAGCAGCTGCGTTTTGGGGTGGCGAAACACGGTAATCATCTCCCCATTGCTGGGTTTTCTGTCGGTTGAGGGGTATTTATAACTGCGGACCGTTTCGCTCGACTTTCTCATGACACAACACAGAAGCTTCTCAAAGTCACAGAATCATATTTGGTTTAATCCAAGGTCAATGTG